TGAACTTTATAGAGGTCCTTGATCTTTGTAAAAGGCCATCTTTAATTATTTACATTTATCTGGTACCATTAAGCATGTTCACAGATTCGTCTAGATGTAAGAAAGAGGGAACCAAAGCAAATTCCTAAACTAACTAATTGATAAGCACCGAATTATCGCAATGAACTGACAAGAGTAGCGCCATACTTGTTAAATAATTGAAATAATATCACCATTTAACAAGAATCAAAAAACTGTGAAAAATTTATTACTTTAAAATTATTTAGCTTTAAATTGTTGGTTTTCTGTTCAGTACTTGGCTTCAGTGCGGTATTAACTTTCTGTATATCCATTTTTATTTTATGATCTTGACGGCAAAATAAATTAATATTAAAATCCACAATACTCGGAATAATAAAATAAAAATAAAGATATATTAATATATATAACGAATGTAAAGAGGGAATAAAAGTTTATTCAACGAAAACATCAAGTTTTATTATTATTATTATTATTATTATTAAAATATAAAAAAAAAAATATATATATTTTCCGTTAATTTGTTTGACATTTCAATCATCGCTACTACTATCATTATTAATTGTATATATTTTGTTTACTACCTGATACACTTCATATTCACAAATTGGATGTATTCTCCTTTTAGTTTCAAAAGGTAATACTTTTTTATAAGAATTGTCGTTGTACCTGTAATAGCAATAAGGTTCGTCCGCAATACTGTTGCATAATGATAAATCATCGAAATCTATAAATTTTTCGCATAATTCTTCCCCGTCTTCATAAAAATTCTCGCTGTCACCAGTATGATGTATTGCAAACGTAGGTTTTCTAACCTTGCTTATTGTTGAAAGCCTCACATCATTTTTATTAATTTTAAAAATGAAGCTTTTGCCTGTTTTAATCCAATAATCTTTCTTTGATAAGAAATCCTCATAACAATTGTTCCATACAACCGGATTATATCCACCAATCAATTCGCCGGTATCTCCAATTTTCATAATAACCAGCGTATGTCCGATATTGTAACAATTCTCTTTGAAAACTGATTTAAAAAATCCATCATAAGTTCCTTGAAGAAGCAATCTAAAATCATACATGGAAATAAAATCAAACCCTCTGTATTTTTCTTCGATCCAACTTGACAAAAGACATTCCATCTTATTATCCAATAATCTTGGAGTTTTTAAAGCCCTCTGAACTATTAAAACCGGTTCCCAATCATCTCTATGAAAAAAATATAGATATATCTCTCTTAGCAAAGTCTCATCAATGATTTTCCTGTATGGCATGACCTTTTGTTCGAAATCGTCTACTGAAATTTTACAAAATTTAATCAATGGAACAATTTCAGCCAATGTGCACTTTAGTAGATTAAAATCTTCGTCTTTCCATTTTAATATATGTTTGTCCAACGTTGCACTCTGTCCAATCCCCCATTGGATAACACGTGTCCAAATATCTATTTCTTTTAAACTTAAATTTTTCTTTTTTAATAAGCTTATAAGCATTTCCTTTTCGAGAAGTTTGAAATCATCAGATTTTAAAAATAATCCCGGGTTTATACAAAGCGATCTGTTACAATAATCTTGAAGAATGGTGAATTGATTGTGATGATAGCAACTTTGATAAATGTAAACTATGTTTTGTTGAATCCAAGCTTTGTAGTTTTTGATCATAAAAGTCCTTAGATCATTGGATAATTCATTCAGGCACAATTCATCACAAGCTTTATGAAGCTCAAAAATTTCCTCTGGTTCAAGATAGTCTATTTCGATTATCCCACTGTAAACATACCTTTTTTTAAAAAAAAGTACGCGTACTTGTCAAAATTACAATTTTAAAATTTAAATTTAACCAATTAGACAATAAATATAATAATATACGCGAACTTACTTTAATATTATTTGAAAGATTTTAGGCGAAACATTTTCCTTTTGAAAAGTAATCATACCATTATTTGACCTTTTGACCCAATTGCTTGATAAAGCCACGCTGAAATAAGGCGACCTTGCTCTCAGTACGGTGGAATGAGCATTAAATGTTTTGATATCCTGATCCATTCCAACTGTAATTTCAACATCATAAAAATCGGAATCTTTAAATAATTCCGAAAAATCATTTATAAGTTTTCTAACATGTTTCAAAGGCAAAAAATTTTTGTCGCTCATAAGCTTATTAAACAATTTATTGGCGTCTTCTAAAGTTGAACAAGTGATATTAGACATTTTATATATGGATTATTTCACGTAAAAAAGTTTTATTTTTTCTTTGACAAGTTATATAGAATTAATGATATTTTGAATTTATATTTGAATTTTTTTTTTAAAAAAAGAGACGTATTACGCGCGCGACTTATTAATGTAAAGTTACATTATATAGATTACACAAGGACTGATTTTTACGTGTTTGTAATTCCTTTTTTGTTAATATTGATGATGTTAATTATATTTTCCGTGAACACGACTTTTTTTTACACATGTTAATTTTTTTTAAATTGATTGTTTGATTTTAATTTTTGTGTATAAATTTTTCATAAAATTAAGCAAAGTGCAAATGTACACATTTACATAAATATATTAAATCTAATAATAATAATAAAAAGATAAATTTAATCGATTATTGAATGAATGAATGAATGTTGGTTGATTGATATATAAAACAAACGATTAGCTTGTATATATGTTAAATTAATTTACTTGTGATTGAAAATTAAAATCAATAATCGATTAAATATTATTAATTAGTTGCAAAAATTTTCTATCTCTCTCTCTAATATACTTTATTCGTATAAATCAGTATCTTCTGTTTCTTGACCAAATCCAACATCCATAGCATTAGCAGTGCTTGGTCCGTCTGTACTACCACCAGCAACACCTCCCTCGGGGAATTTGAAATTTGATCCAAAGCCTCGAGATTGTTGAAGGGTTTGTGCAAACATTTCATATCTACGAATATCGTTATCAGAAACTGAACGACGTGCAAATTTCATTGCTTCTTCGAAATGTGCTCTATATAATTGTTAATTGAATTAACAATGAATTTAACAATGAATTTAACAATGAATTTAATTTGTTAAGAATTATTATAAATCAAACCTTGTGATTTCTGGTACAGGGTCCACTGACTCTTCCATGTCTTCATCCATTGACACTTCTTCGCCAGATTCTATTCTATCTTTACGTAATCTCTCACGCGCTACTTCCTTTTCAATACTTTCTCTAATTGCTAACTTACAAGCACGTTGACAAATTTCTGTTAAATCTGCGCCAGAGAAACCATGTGTTTTTTCAGACAAAAATTTTAAGTTCACGTTTTGTGCTACTGGTGATTTTCTTAGTATTGATGTTAGAATTGACAATCTTGATGGTTCATCTGGCAAAGGAATGTAAATTAGTTGATCAAGACGTCCAGGTCTAAGTAAAGCTGGATCTATTTGATCAGGTCTATTTGTTGCTCCAATAACGAATACATTTTTCTTCGTGTTCATGCCGTCCATCTCGGTTAAAATTTGATTGAGTACACGATCTCCCGCACCGCCTCCATCACCATGTGAAGAGCCACGTGCTTTTGCAATCGAATCCAATTCATCAAAAAACATTACACACGGTGCTGCTGCTCTTGCTTTATCAAATACATCACGTACGTTTGCTTCTGATTCACCAAACCACATGGTTAATAATTCAGGTCCCTGATAAGGTTAAAAATAGGAAATGTGGTTTTATTATTAATCAATATGTAAAAAACCTTTATAAAACAATAATAAATATTTATTATGATAATAATTACCTTAATACTGATGAAGTTTGCTTGACATTCATTAGCAATGGCTTTTGCTAATAAAGTCTTACCACACCCAGGTGGACCATAAAATAATACACCTTTTGAAGGTGACATACCGAATTTTAAAAATTTGTCTGGATGCTCCACGGGATATTGTACAGTTTCTTGAAGTTCTTGTTTAACTTTTTCAAGACCTCCAATATCATTCCAGGTAACTGTAGGAACTTCAACAACTGTTTCACGAAGAGCTGATGGATTTGAAACGCCCAAAGCATACTATATACAAAATAAATTATAATAAATAAGATGATGATGATAATGATGATGATGATAATGATGATGATGATGATAATAACAACAACAACAATAATAATATACATACTCTAAAGTTGTCCATGGTTACAGCTAAAGAATCTAATATTTCAGCATCAATGGTATCATCTTCCAAATCAAATGCATCCATTTTCTCACGAATTTGTTGCATTGCAGCTTCTGAACATAAAGAAGCTATATCAGAACCAACATAACCGTGAGTTTCTGATGCAATCTAATCAATTTGTTTTATTTTTAGGAAGGTATAAATAAAAATTAATAAATTTTTTTTTTTTATAACAATAGCTAAAAAATCCCAACCAACAAAATACCTTTTCTAAATCGACATCGTCACTTAATTTCATATTTTTTGTATGAATACGCAAAATTTCTAAACGGCCAACAGGATCAGGAATACCAATATCAATTTCACGATCAAAACGACCAAAACGTCTAAGTGCAGGGTCAATACTATTTGGACGATTAGTTGCTGCCATCACAACAATATTTGAACGAGCTTTCATACCATCCATCAATGTAAGAAGTTGAGAAACAACACGACGTTCTACTTCGCCATTTGTCTAAAAAATTATATAATATATCATTAGAAAAACCAATAAATGTAAAATGTTTATAACAATAAACATAATAGATTTTCCTACCTTTTCACGTTTTGGAGCAATAGCATCAATTTCATCAATGAAAATTATAGCGGGACTATTTTTTTCTGCTTCTTCGAATGCTTTTCTTAAATTACTTTCGGATTCACCAGCCATCTTTGACATGATTTCAGGTCCGTTAATTAAAAAGAAGAATGCACCAGTTTCATTGGCTACTGCACGAGCAATTAAAGTTTTACCAGTACCAGGAGGCCCATACATAAGAATACCTCGAGGTGGTTTGATACCAATAGATTTAAAGAGTTGAGGATGTCTAAGCGGTAGTTCAACAAGTTCACGTATTTGTGCCATTTGTTTACGACATCCGCCGATATCATCATAGCCTACATCATTAAGATTAGATTCTTCATCTGCTCGGCTAATTGGATCGCCTTCACAATGTATCACTGTATCTTGTGCAACCTTTAGGGGTAAGATTAAAAATTAAAATAGTCAACAAAAATAAATAAACAATTGATTAAAATTTAAAAATAAAAATAATCAATCAAAAACTTACAATACAGTAATCTGGTGGATCCGTTTCTACAACTTTGAATTCAACGCCTCTCATAGCAGCTCTAACCAAAAACAAATCACCTTTTCTTACGGGTCTATATGCTTCTAAGAAGTAAGGTTTCAAGTATACTTCGAAAAGGTTTCCTGTCACTCCCTCGACTGTATCATCGATTGGCAACACGTGAATTCTCTTTCCGTACTTTATTTCAGAACATGGATGGATTGATATTACATCACCGAGACGTACACGCAAATTGTTACGAACAACTATAATAAAAAAAAAACAATTAATAAATATATGGATGTAAATTATTACAATATATATACAGTATATGCAATAATATTTATAAAAATTAGTATTAACCTTTATTAATTTTTACTTTAGAATCATCACAATCATCATCTGCTAAAACAATTAGCACGGTGTCACGTCTTTTTTTGCCTTTTACCAATACAGTATCACCACGAAAAAGTTGTAATTTTTCCATAGTAGCTGTGGAAAGTGACATTATTGAATTATCATCTTGCGTTGCATCATCTACTATGAGTTTATTTTTTGCAGGTTTATCACGAAGTATAGCTGTGGCTGGATCATTAGTTGGAATATTTCCTGCAGGATCATTATCACTATAAAAAAATAAATTTAAAATGATTAGAAAACTTTTACATTTTCATCTGGTATAATATCAACAAAATGCAAAAAAATTTTTAAGGAGGGAAACTTTAATAGATCTGACAGTCAAACATATACATACACTTCTTTTCCCTTTCCAGACATGAATATTATAGATCTTTAAGTAAAATATATCTATTTTTTTTAATTCGAAAATTTTATTATAATAATAAACTACTGGATAAGATTATTTAGATAAAATTTTTTTTGTAAGAAAAATTTTTCATAAAAATTATTTTTACTTACAAATAATATTAACGATTTAACCAAACCTTTATTTAATAAAATAAAAAAGGAAGATAATATATTAGCGAAGATTAAATGAGCATTTAAATGATCAAATCGCTTACGCAACCTTCAGCATAGTGAAGATCTTTGATGCGTGATTACCATTTCATATCACTTTTATAATAACCAGTTACACAATGTGACGTGTCATCTTGAATGTTCAATGATTTCTTGGGCAGAATAATCAGTCCAAGCGTATAACTAGAACCATACACATTGCATACAGAGGCCATAAAAAATTTATACGTGCCCTACAGTTATGTCATAATTAAAAACTGCATAGTAGATGATAAACTTTTCAAAGTCTCGAATAATCTTAGGAGATGGTATATTTAAAAAGCGAGTATTGGCCTCAAATGGTACATTTGAATTGGGCATTAACCTCAAATGCAACACTTGAAAATAGGAATTCTTTTTTATAAACAAATAAGAAATGGTAATGTAAAAATATATTAAACAGCATCTTTTAAACCATGAATTTGTTCAAAAAGGTTCATATGCTACATGTATTTGTGGTAATAAAATAAAATTAAAGTGCCCTTTTGATAATTGGCATGTAGAAAGTGAGTGATGTGTGTAAAAGAAAGAAAAACACCCATGAAATTACTAAATTTTTTCAAATCAAACAATACACAAAATCATTTATCATCGATAATTTTTCATGCATTGGTTTTTATGGTGATAAGTATATATTGAACGCGCCCAACTTACTGCAGCTCATGATGTTGCACATCCACACCATGTGAATTCTTGTAAATTAAAAAAAAAGGCCATGTCCAAAATTACATGCAGACTTTTGCAAAGAAATTAACACGTGTAATTGTATAGTTGGCACAGTCAAATTTTGAACTATAGGCCTTTTATACTGTCCATGTCCCATATATTAAAATTTGATACTTCTGAAACATAGTAATTCAAGAAGAAGGGAATAGAAATTTACATTGCATATAGTATGGATGAAATAAGAATGAATAAAAATTAATAATAAAAAAATAAATAATAGTGAAATATAAAAGCATTTAAAATTTTGATGGGACCTAATTCTCGAATGTGCTCTGGAATAACTGTATAGTCCTTCATAATACTAATCATACCTTAGGACAATCCAGTTTTTTTCGCATCAAGATTGCTGGTGCAGTTTATTTGCATAGATTTCACGGGTTCACCATTTTGCCAAACTGATGAAATTATTGCCCTTTTTTTTCGTTCTTTATCATTAGCAAATAACAATAACAATCATTCCAACTACTCTCCATATGGTCCAATTAGTTAGTGGTTATTAACAATATTAGTTGTTTGCCTTTTTAAATTTTAATTTTCTTTTTTATTCTTTTATTCTTTCTGTATTTTAGTTCTCTCAGGGTTATTTTTAATTTTCTTTATTTTCTTCACCAACTGAACCCTGAAATCTTTTTTAATGGCTATGATTGCACAGAGAGGACAATGGTAGTGAGTGATATAACAAACATCTATTATCAACATAATATTCTTTGAACAATTTATTGTGGTTTGCAAAATAGTAGATTTTTTTGCCCAAAATTGCTAATAGTATTTGGTTAATATCTATAGTATACCATATTAAATTTTAAATGTGGTTAAATATAATATATTCAGGAAAAGAAATAGAAAATAGCTTACCCACCAGGTAATCTACCCAAGAATACATGTTCATAACTGTTTAATGTAAAAATATATTTACCTCCATTTTTGGGTTGGGTGTGTTGAAACTTATTTTACAGATAAGACCCTATTTAATACAGTTCTCACTGCAAGCATTAAATATCTACATGAATGAATTGATTAAATTCACTGTTATTTCTGCCCAAAATGTACCAAATCACACAATGATAGTATTTTCACTTGCAGGTACAAGACAACAAGAGTTACTTGATCTTGCTAATGCAAATAGTACAGAATCATGAAGTCAAATCATTTGGAAGAAATAGTTATCGATTTATGTAAAAGACACAGTCAAGATGCAATTCTAATTGACAAATCAATCAAAAGAAAATGCAAACTTTTCAGTAGACATATAATGTTTTTTGCAAGATATATCTACAATTTAAGATTATCAGACAATAGATGGAATCTCACTCACTTTGTAAAAATGGTAACTTTACTTGGAAATGATGTAAAGGCTAATTTAATTTTTGAATTTTTATGGAGTAGCATTCTAAAAATATCGGAATGAAAACTTTTTGAACAAATGCATCTGCATTCTCATTGTATATCAAATTCTTAATAAGAGTGACACGATTGGAGGATATGAAGTAAAAAAAAAATATATTTGAAATAGTAGCCGATATCCGAAATTGTTGGGGCTCTTCATCAAAGAGCCCAACTGTTTTATGTTCTATTCACATAAAGAATATAGAGAATCCATAACATCTATAGTTTTTACTTTAGTTTTTGAAAAAATGATCACGCAAAAATCATGTAAATGTCGTTTTGGACTCGCGGCGCACTAAACGATTATCGACTACTAGTTGGTCAAAATGTCTTTGGTCAATTATTTTAATCGATTATTTAGTTGATTATATATATATTTTTTTTTGATGCAGGTTCATTATTATTATTAACCTTTAATTTCCCAGATTCTGAAATATCATGTTCATTTAAAAGGTGTAATTTCATATTCATTTCCATTTGAACTTTTACACGAAACTGTGTGTTATTCGTTTTTTTAAAGGTCTTCTGGAACCAATACTTGAATCATTGGAACTTGAAGCCAGTGAAATATTGGACCTTGTATCATAACGTAAAATTATTGGAAGCAACACCAACACCGCCATCATTGTCATCGTCATCATAGTATTGATGGTATTGATACTCTTTTTGAATTTTATTTACAAAAATTATAATAATAATTAGTATTATTATAGTCGACCAAGATAGTAACAGTCGACTAATTAGTGTTGGTCGATTCCAACTTCTATAAACAATAAGAAAAACAATACATTTGATTTTTAAAATTTTATAATTATTGATTACTTTAAATCTCAATTCTTATTAACAATGCGTTGTTGATTAATTTGGAATTTAAAATTTTTTGATGAGTTAGGAATCAACAATATTTTTTTTGGAAAATTAATCAATAATAGCAAATCACACATTCTCTAATTTATATATTGGATCAATTGTTTGATCATGCAAATCTTCAATGTAATCAAAAGCTAAATTAATATATTGAATTGCATTTATAATAAAAAACAATGAAATGTAATATGTGGACATGCATAAGTAGGCGGCATAATATACAAAGAAGGCATTAGAAAGAATTTATTCAATAAATTGGCATTTCCCTCCTCGCATCTTTTTGCATTAATGATTATTATAAAGTTTTTTTTTTTTTTGATTACTTTGATGCTAAAATCTCTTCAACTTGGAATAATGGATAAATTTTCTTATATAATAACTCGAATTTTCATCCCTCAAAAGAAATAAAACTCAAACGAGTCAAATCTAAAACTTTATAAATTTAAAATAAAACAAGTCAAATAAATAAAAATGCCTAACTATCAAGCTAAAAGAGACTCTGGTTTTTTCGAAAGTGAAGATTTCTTTGATATTAAGTTCTCGGATTCTATTATTACTTCTACTACCACCACCATCTCCACCACATCTACTACTGCTGCTACCTCTTCCGTCATTAATTCTTCCGTCACTAATTCTTCCGTTAATCAAACACCATTTTCATCATATTTCGGTCTTTATGAAATCAAATTGACCAAGAAACATTTCGATAAATTATCATCGTCACATTACTGGACTTACGAGCCACTCGAAAATATTTTACCATCCAAAAAAATCACCAATACTAGTAATAACACCACTAAATCTAACATTCGTAACAATTCCAATTCCAATATCAAACCCTCCAAAAACAATAATAAATCAACTATTACAACTCCAAAAATTGAAAAAGAAACAATTATTCCGTTTTCCAACTATCTTGGTTTAACGGGCCAACCACCTACTGAAAAATTCGATGTCGCCGATCATTACTGGACTAATTTACCACTTGAGGCAATCTTACCATCAAAATCAAAATACAAAAATACCAAAAATAAGAAAAATTCCTCTTTTACACCTTCATCTATAAACCTTAATTTATTCACCAAATACGAGCGTCTAATGAACAAAAATAAAAGATAAAAATATTTATTTGTATTAGTAGTTTCTTTTATTCCTCTTATTGTAAATTTTTATTGTAATATTTTTTTTCAATTAATGTAAATTCTTTCTTTTTAAATTTTTTTTCTTTTTGTTATCTTAATTGTAATTAATTAATTAAATAGATCAATTTTTTCATTTCTTAATAAAAATATACAGTATATAAAACATTTTTGCGTATGTCATGTGATGATATTGATATTGGTTGTTTCATTACTTTGTTTTTTTATATGTATATATATATGCAGTGTATATCAACTAGTACAAATTTAGAAACTATCTGCAGCAACAAACTTGATTGGACATTCCTAAATTTGTACTAGTATTATTTAAACACCTATTAAATCGAGATTCACTCACTGTTTATTATATATTAATTAGTACTAGTCCTAGACAAAGCGAGCAAAACGAATTGCTGGGTTAAAATTTAGCGAGTTTATTAACATATGGGACTATTATTAAATTACCTATATGAAGTTAATTTACATAATTAAAATTCACCGTGCCAAATAATTTACAGTTAATAATAAATAAAGTTTATTTGAATTATTTCCCCAAAGTTGAAAATCTTTAGTCAACAACCAGACTTAATTTTATTGTAAGCATAGATAGTCTGATTTGCAATCAGGTATTAAAAATTCATCATTATAATTAATTATTTCCACGTTTTGATTTTAATTTGTTCAACAACAATAATGGATAATTATGTAATTAACCGAAAAATTTTCGGAAAATAATATTAGTATTAGTGTTAATTAATATTATTATTATCCAATCGATTACGATTTACTAACATTGCTACTATTATCTCTTTATCGCCATTACTATATGGCGAATCATAAAAACAATAATCTCGCACATGATTATTAAGTAGATGTTCCTTATTTACTTTTACAGCAACGTTAAACAAAAAAAAAATTTTGTTGGGGGGTGAAGATGCGTGTAATAATAAAAATATGTATGAAATATATATATAGATAGATAGATATAAATTTTATTTTTAATTCTATCTTAAAGTTTTTTTTTCAATTATTATTATTAGTATTACTATTTATTATTATTATAAATAATAATAGTTTTCAAAATAATAATCCTTAATACACTCCTTTTACTTCATTTTTACTTCATTTTCGTTGAAAAATAAAAATAAAATAAAATAATTTATTTCTTATTCATCGTATATATACAACTTACACTCCATACATTATATCCTCACTCATTCCATAATTTATCACACAACTCGAACAAAATGCCAAATAGAAAAGAGAAGAACAAATATTCAAAGGTCGCAGAACCCAAGTCTTTTTTTCGAGAAACATTAAAGGAAATGGAGAATATCGATTCTACTGGTATTCTCAAGTGCGTTGACCAACATGTGGTTGATACTTATAATGCTATAAGTGCTGCTGCTAAATTAGGATCATGCCGTCTACTATATTTCGATGAACTTCCAATTGAATGGCAAGAAAATCCGTAGGTTTTTATAGATGCGAAATATTAATTAATGCATATACGTATATATATATATATATATATATTAAAGTGATGTATGTTGTTGTTGTGTAGATATATTCGTTCTGGATATCGATTTTTAACAACAAAAAAACAATGTCTTCAATCAATTTTTTGGCTTCATAACGAAACTTGTAATATTTGGACACATTTATTAGGATTCGTATTTTTTTTAGGACTTGGAATATATTCTTTTATGACACATTTAGAAAGTGCAACCATATTTGATAAATTGATATTTGTAATATTTTTTATTGCTGCTGCTAAATGGTAAGAATATAAATGTATATGAATGAGAGAGAGATATCGGAGAGATTAATAATAATTAACAATTAATATTATTTACATTATAGCCTAGTATGTTCAGTATTATATCATACATTTATTCATTGCGCGCATATTCCAGGTAATTATTACCGATTGATGTTTATTTTATTTTCCAAAAAAACCATCTTTAATCAATTGATTTTTTATTTCATCAGTGATGCAATGTGCAGCAACATTTGATTATATTGGAATATCGTTTCTTATAATAGCCTCCATCATAATAACAGAGTATTATGGTCTATACTGTTCACCGTTTGAACGTAATTTTTACATGACATTCACAGCGCTGGTCGGATTAGTTCCAATAATTTGTGCGATATTTCCATGGTTTGATTCAAAAAGATTTAGATTGTTTCGTGTGATATTGTTTATAACGCTCGGATGCTCTGGTGTGTTTCCATTAGCACATTTGGTATATATTCATGGATTTAACCATATGTGGGATTTCATTAATCCTATTATATCAAGTTTATTTGCCTATTTGACGGGTGTATGGATCTATGCCAATCGATTCCCTGAAAAGAAATGGCCAGGGAAATTAGACAGATTTGGAATTCACAGTCATTCTGTGTGGCATGTTTTCGTTTGCATAGGAATATACGAACATTATAAAGCTTGTCTATGGTTTTTCGAAAAAAGATTATCTGCGAGCAATTGTTCCATATGAACGAATGAGAGTTGGTTAGTTGAATTGGTAGTTAACAATATCACTTGGAAGAAGAAAAACAAAAAAAACAATTGTTACAAAAAAAAATTATTATATACATAGAATTTTTTTTATTTGAAAATTTTAGAAAAAAAATAATTTAATTTGTAAAAAGAAATTTTTTAAAAAATATACCTAATTCAATCTATATCTGGAAAATAGAGACCTATAAATATTATAAATATTTGTATAGAAAAATAGAATGAATATAAATAATAGTTTAATAAGCAATAAAATACAATCATTTAAAATATTATTATTATTATTTATTATTATTATTATTATTATCAGAAATTTGGGTATATTATATAGTCAACATTGGATTAATTATTCAGACTGACGTGCAAATATCATTTTTCATCATTTATTTAATTATAAATTGATTATATATAAAATTTTTTTTCAAGTACCTTTGTAAGAAAATTCTTTTTCTATAAGAAAATGTTGAAAAAAAAAAAAAAAGATGGATATTCATGATCACCATATTAATATTAACAAATCCTTTTTTGGATGTTTGATCGCTATACCCCAAAACCAAATATTATTTTAATTTGAAATCCAAAACGGCAAATCAAGAGAAGGGAAAAAACTAAACCATTATACTCGTGTGTTATTGAATAACGGAACAAGGAAATGAAAACAATCATATTAATTAATATTGCGAATTTGTATACAATATTTTAATATTTTATTTTTAAATAGTGAAAAAATATTAAATTAAATTAATAAATATATGTCTATAATATTAAATAATGCAATTTTTAAATAAATACAATAAATATGAATATATGTAAAAATAAATTACAAAATAAAGAATATAATAAATAAATATGATTAGAAGCACATGAACTTGTTTTTCTTTTGTATAAGTTCTTCCATACGATTTTCAAGCTGTCTTCTAGCCTTTTCAGCTTCTTCTTTTGCTTTTCTTTCTTGATTCAATACAGACTCAATGGACTCAATGACTTTCTTTTCTTCTTGCACTGACGATTGAGCATGTTCAAATTGTGCATTAACCTCTTCCAATCGATCATTCAATGCTTTAACTTGTTGACGAAGATTGGTCTTTTCTTTTTGAAGAATTTGTAATTGTTGTTTTGCAATTTTTAATTCGCCTTCATTGCTGTTTAGAGCTCCTTCTAACGTTTCAATAAGTTGTTGACTTTGTGAGTTTTCATTTTCAAGCTTACCAAGTTTCTTGTTAAGTTTTTGAACTTCTGATGTTAAATCTTGTATTGGTGTGGTATTTACTTCAGAATCTGGTATAGGTGGTAATGGGCTTTTTGGTGGTGGGCTTAATGGTGGTGTCATTGGCAAAGAAACAGAATTAGATACCAAAGATGATGTTGACGATGATGGCGAGGAAGGTACAGGAGGTAGTGGAAGATTTGGTGGTGGTGTAAGTGGAGCGTCCATATATGCTGCAGGTGTGGCACTGAGATTGTTTTTAATAGCATTCTTCATCAATTCAGTTGATGAATTTGAATCTGTTCTAACAAGACGGAATCCACCAACTGCATCAAGATCAGCTGGCGTGGTAGGTTTATGTATTTCTTCTAATTGTTGTTTCTCCAACTCTGCAATTCTATCTTGTAAAGTTTTTATTATTACAAGCTGTTCTGCAATGGTAGTTTCATGTTTCATAGCTTTCACATTCTTGTTAAGGCGTGGATTACTAGCTTGTGGTGATAGTGATGAAAATCCAGAATCATATGAATCTCCAGAATCACTACTAGATCTTATTTTTTGTCGTTGTTGTTGCTGCTGCGGTAATTTGGGACTATATTCTTGTTCGTTTCCTGATTCTAATTTCTTATTAACTTCCAAAAGCCTTATTATTTCTTTCTCCATTTCTTCCGAATCTTTTTTGGATTGTTCTTTGGTAATTGAGATTTCTTTTTCCAACGAAATTATTTTCTTGTTTAATTCTGCAAGTTGAGCAGCAGATTTATTACCATCACGACCAGATGATTGGAGCTGTTGTAATAATGAATCAATCTTGTCATCAAGTTTTTTCTTTTCCTCGACAAATGCTTTATTGGCTTCTCCTAATCCGTCCCTCTCGTTCTCAAGATTTTTGATCTTATCTTTCAACTCTTTACTTGTATTAATATCATCGTTAATTGTTTTGTAATGCGCAAGTTCTTGTTCTAATGATTTAACTTTTTGATTCAATTTGGAAACATTTTCTTCTGTATCCACCAACTTTTTATTTAAATCATTATTGGTCTTGCGTAAAGTTTCACTTGCAGATGCTAATTGTGAAAGTGTGGTTGAGCTATTCGTGTGTTGTTTTTTGTTTGCATCAATTTCCATTTCCAATTCTGCTATCCTTGTTTTTTGTTTTGATAAATTGCTTTCAGTTTCTTTGTATTTCAAATCAGCTTCTGAATATTCATCAGCCAACGATTCAAGTTCTTTTTCAAGTTGCATAACATTTTGTTCCAATGCCATATTATTTTGGTCCAATATCGACTTTTCAGATTCAAGTTTCTGAATGGAATTTTCTAATTGTTGGCTATGTTCAATATGAATTTGATTTTCTTCTTGAGATTTCTTAAGTTGTTGATTAAGTTCTTCGTATAGGCCACTATCGACGCTTTGATGACTTTGTAACATTGCTTCCTTTTGTATTTCATCAATTTCGTTTTGTAAATCTGCACATTTCTCTTTAAGTTGTTCTATCTCAATATTTGCTTCAGTGAATTTATCAATTTCTTTGTCGCGTTGATTTTTAGTTTGTTCGAGTTGTGCTTCTAAACTTGAGATAAGTTCAACCTGTTGAGATTCGTTGGACTGCATTTGTTTAAGTTCTTCCTTTAATTTTTCAAGATTATTATTTAAACTATCCAAATCATTTTCTTTTATTTTCAAGTCATCTTCAACTTCTTTAACCGATTTCCTTAATGATTCCTCAGTCTCTTTTGCCAAGACCAACTCATTTGTCAACTGTAAAATACTTTTACTATTCTCAATGTCAGCAGCAGCCAATTTCGATTCTAGTTGTTTAGTAAGTTCAACCTGTTTATCGTATGATTCTTTGACGGCTTCAAGATCTTCACGCGTAGGATTATTCTTTATTTGTTCTTCTAACTCCAAAATCTTGGATTCAAGTTCTTGAGCTTCAGCAGACTTGAATTTTTCTGCATTTTCAAGTTGCGATTTAAGTTTCTTTAAATTTTCTTCTAATCCCATAATCAACTCGACCTTATTGTTAAGTGCATTATCTTTCTCTTGAACTTTGATGTTAGTTTCTTGAATTCTATCTTCAAGTTCTTGGATTTTTTGTGAACGTTTTGTGTCTAATTCTTTCGATTCGTCAAGTTGTGACTGAAGTAAATCAAGTTTCTCATTAAGCTTACTAATGGTTTCTTGGTCTAATACCGAGCTATTTTTAGCTTCCTCAAGTTGAGATTTAAGATTAGAAATATTTGATTCTAAAGTTTCAACAGCTTCTTTTTTTTCAGTTTCTTTTGTTTCAATCTCTTTGGCTAATTCATCAATAAGATCGGCCGATTCGTCACGTTCTTTTTCAACACTAGTAAGTTTTGAATTCAATTCTGATAAAAGCTCATTTTGTCGAATCATTTCATCTTTGGCTTCTGTTAATTCAGAATTAAGCCTTGAAATTTCTTTATCGTCAGTTATATTCATCTCTTTCAAGCCTTCAATTTCAATTACTAAATCCTTGGTTTTTTTATCCAATTGATCACGTTCTTCAACTGTCTGACTTAACAATGCCGACAAATCCTCGTGTTTCTTAGAACTTGATTGATTATCTTCTTTAGCTTTTGTTAATTCGGTTTTAGTCAAGTTCAGATCTTTTTCAAGAGTGAAGACAAGATTTTTTTGTGCTTCGAGATCTTGTTTCATCGACTCCATCTCTTTGACAACAGAATCTTTTTCATTTTGAATGTTGACAAGTTGATCTTGTAATTGTGAAATAGAGGACTTTTGTTCAGCATCTAATTCACTCAACAATTTAAGTTCACTTTGAATACTTGATAATTTTTTAGAATCTTGTTGAGCTTCAGAAAGCTTAGTTTCCAAGTCTTGAATAGTATCTTTTAGCAGTGATTCGTTGGCTTCATGATTAACAAGTTCGCTTTTCAAATTAGCAATTTCCGGATTTTCTTGGGCAAGTTTTAATTGTGATTCTAGGGATTTGATTTTTTCAGATTGATCAATCTCTTGTTTGTTGAGCAACTCGATTTCCTCCTTTAATCTTTTAATTTCATTATCATTATCTGTTTCTTTGATTAATTGTTTTGCTGCTTCCTCTTCTCTCAATTTCAATTCGCTACTCTTGATAGTTTTTATTCTTTCATCTGATTCTTTTCTTAATTCGTCAAGTTGAACTTGCAACACTCTTATTTCAGATTCGGAATCTTTTAATTTGGATTCAAGTTTCTCTATTATTTTTTTATGTTCAATTTCATTTTCTTTGACTAACGATAATTCATCTTTTAATTTTGTGAAATCTTTTTCAACAACAGAAAGATTCTTATTTTGTTCTTGCGATGATGATAAACTTGATTCAAGAACTTTGATTCTTTCACATTGAGCAATCTCGATCTTTTTCAATCGATCCAATTCTGATTGAAGTTTAGTTTCTTCGAGTGCCAAAACTTTTAATCTTTCAATAGTAAAATTTTCATTATCTTTAGCTTTAATCATTTCTTTTTTAACATCGTTTATTTCATTTTCTAATGACTCATTAACTTCATTATTATTATTTGATGATGATTTGAAAGATTTTAATTTTTCTTGAAGTTGTAAAATTTGTTGTTTCATTTCATTCTCGTTATTTTTAAAACCGTTTAATTGATGTTGTAAGGACTTAGCTTCAGCTTCTTTTCCACGTAATTTTTGTTGTAATATTCCTTTATCAATCAATTCTCTTTTAGTGCTTTCAATTATTTCATATTTACATTTAACATCAACCCTTAAAATTTCTAGTTGTTGTTGCATCGATGAAACTAATTCCAATTCAGTATTAATATTTTCTGATTTATCTTTATCATCTTTATGATCATTATCATCAGCCTTACTTAATAATTCTTCTTGTAAATCTACTAATTTTGCTTGCAAGTTACTGATTATTTTTTGTGTTGAATCAGTTGAATATAAAGTTGATGCTGAAGAGGAGGCGGAGGTGGAAGATCTTGGAGTTGGAATATGTTGAGCTTCTTTTGCATTCGTTAATTGCACTTCAAGATCCTTAACTTTCTCTTCTAATTCTTTAACATTTTCATCAATATTTTGTTCTAATTTATCGGAAGAATAAGTAATTTCTGGTGATAATGATCCATTACGATTATTACTTGTGTTATTATTACCTTCATCATTACTGTTGCTACCATTAATACCATTATCAGTGTTATTATTGTCATATTCAGCTGATTCTGAAATTGTAGCTAATTTATTAGATTTTTCTTTTAATGTTGCAATTCGATGAGCCTCTCTAACTTCTTGCAATTCATCCTCAAGCCTTCTAATTATATCCTGATGCTCGTTAGATGGCAACAATAAAGCAGATATGGTATGACTTTTTGCTTCTATTTCCATTTGAAGTTTTTCAACTTGTTGTTTCAATGTAATAATTTCTTGGTCTGTTTCCTTGCCATTGTTGGCAGCATTAGTTGAAGATGAACCATTTCCTTCCAATTTTAATTTTGTATCATCAATTTCTTTTTGTCGCTGAACTTGAGAAAATCCATCCTCATTGCCATTGCCACCATCATTATTGGCCTTTTCACGCTGAGACATAATTTCCATTGTGGTTCTTTGTTCTTCTTTAAGTTGTTCAATTTCTTCCTTAAGTCGTTGAACAATGTCCAAATGATCAATTTCACTTGCGGTAGTGGTAGAAACACCGCTGTAATAACTATTGTATTCACTATTGTTATTATTAGTATTGTTACCACTACCATTCAAACTACTGCTGCGATGATGATGATTATGATTATGATGTTGATGATTATTATTGTGATTACTTGAAGAATTTATATAATCACGATAATCGGAATTAGAAGTAACCGACATTTCTTCCAACTGGGCCAACGCATCACGTCTTTTAATCTCTTCTCGTAACTCTTCAACAATTTCTAGTTTTTCGCGATACTCAATCTCCAATCTTGCAAATTCTGATTTGACAGCATCCAGACCTTGGGTTTTATCCTCGTGCAGTGATGACAATTGCTTCAAGTCGTCCTGTAATTTCTGTACAATTGATATGTGAGCCAAATCGCGTCTTTCATTGGATTTCAGTTCGGTTGATAAAGTTCTTGATTTACGATGAGCGTTTTGATTTTGTGATTTTTTCGAATTATTGAACAAATTGTTAATTAAAGGTTGTTCTTTATGATTAGATTCGTAAAAATTATTGTTAATATGATTGATAGAAGAAACACTTGTGGCGATGGTCGAGTAAGAAGAAGATGTGGTGGAGGTGGGAGAGGAAGAAGATGACGAGCGAAGATTTACTGGTAAAGACATTCGATAATTACTGTTATTGAATAATGAGCTATCAGGTGTGGTTGGAGTTGTAGGTGTAGTTGATTTGTCGTCATGAATTGACTTAGCATCTGAAATTTGAATTTCTAATTCTTGCATTTCTTGTAAACAAGATTGGTATTTTGCTTTCAAATCGTCGAATTCTTTACATGTATTATCATGAATCTTTTGTAATTTTGATAATTTCCCTTCCAGTAATATCATATTCAATCTTTCTTTCTCTTCATTACTGTTATCGTTTGATGAAAATAGACTTGTGTCTGATGTCGTTGATGACGTAGATTTTTCATGAATATGCATAATATTAAGATTATCGTCGTCATCTAATGAATGTTGCTTTCTTAAATTTTCAAGCTCGCCAATTAATTCTTCAACTTTTCTTTCAAGATGAATGATCCTCTCTTCCCTATCATCCAATTCAACAAGCAAAGATCTCTTCTCTCTATCATTCTCAGTATTGTACGATTTTTGTTCTAGTTCGTGATACTCTTGCTCGCTCTCGATCAAACGTTGTTCCAATTTCCCAATATTTTCAGTTAATTTAGAAACATGATCCTCACTGCTTGCCAATCTCTCTTCCAGTTCTGCGATATACATTTCGCTATTTGATATAATATCTTTTAACTTTGCAATTTTAGATTTCAAGTCCTGAATCATTTCTTGATCAAGTTTTTGTTGTAGAGAACAAGATTCTAATTTCCCCTCCAGATCTTTAACGTAATTTTCGGTAGATGATTCACGCTCATTCAACCTTGCAAGTTTATTTTTCAATTCAATAATTTGAGCGCGATTTTGTTGATCAGCTTGTTCGGTTTGGAATAATTTGTATTCATTTTCTTGCATCAATGTTTCAGAATGTGATAATGCAGCCTTGTTTAATGCCAGTTGGCTTTCTAGTTGTGAGATTGATTTTTCATATTCTTCGATTACTGGCTCAACGGCTTCTTGGAAACTTGCAGAAATATTTTTTATTAATTTTTCTTCTTCAATAGTTGCCAAACCATTCTTGTCAATATTGGGTTTCTTGATATTACTCTTGATATCGCCAGATAATATACCATCAGAATTATCTTGATGTTGAGCAAGTTCAGCAGAAGTTTTTGCATATTTTTGTGTTAATTCAACATAAGATTTTTTTAACTGGATCAATTGATCTTCTAAGGTTTCAATTTCTTTTTCTTTTTCTTTTTGTGAATTTAATGTTAATGAAGAAGAAGGAGTTGAAGGCCTTTTTAGATAACTAGGAGTATCCCTGCCATTAACTGGCGTGGTTCTCCCTGATACATTATTTAACAGTGGTGTGGTTCTTCCTGATGCATTACTTAACAGTGGAGTGGTTCTTCCTGATACATTATTTAACATTGGTGTGGTTCTTCCATTACTTAACATTGGTATACCACTTGTCATTGTAGAAGTAGTAGGACTATTATAATTATTATTATTATGATTATTATCATTGTTATCACCATGATTATTGTTATTGCTATTATTATTATTAGCAGTAGTTCCATTAGCACCACTACTGTAAGTGGCATTTCTTAATGCCTTGATTTCATTCCTTAATTTCATTACTAAAGATTGTAAATGTTCTATATCATTCCAACCAGTTTCTTCTTGATTTAATGAAATAGTATTTTTAATATTTCTTGCACGATTAGCATATTTTATGGTATTGTGAGTTTCGTGAATATTGAAAGCGGTAGGCGAGACACAAGCTATCATCAATGTTTGAGCATTACCACCCAAAGAGTCTTGTAGAAGCCTGGTGAGTTTTGAGTCACGATATGGTATGTGGGTTGTGTGTTTGGCTTTATTAGTATCACCTAATGCTGATATAACGTTTCCTAAGGCCAATAAACCAGAATTTATAGAAATCCCTTCTTTTGCCCTCTCGCTTATTGCTGATGTGCGTTTTAACTAACAATTAGAATAATATAACAATTATAGTTAATTTTTATTATAATTATAAAGTAAAACAGATAAATTCTATATTACATAATAATAATAATAATAATAATAATAATAATATCAAAACCTACCCTTTCACTACCAGCCAAATCTACAAAATGAAATTTGCTAGTAACAGTAACCCATTCACCATCATCAGCTCTTTTATTTAATCTTGAATTACTTCTGGATGATGGGAGCTTCATGCCAGGGGTGGTGGGTCTATCGCCAGGAGCAGGTGTCGATGGTGGTGATAATATAGATGCGGATGCGGATGATGAAGGTATGAATTTTTGTTGTGATAAAGTTATAGAAAAAATTGCATGTGAACGAGATGATTTTGAATTCATTTCTGTTGCACCAACTTGTCGATGCGTTGATCCATGTGTTAAGTGACTTTTAGATTTATGTTTTTAAATTTTAATATTAGCAAACATTCAAGCAAAGAAATTATGATGATTCTATTATTTAATTAATTAATCACCTCATTACATCTTCGACATTATTAACTTGTAATTCCTTCAAACCACTCCAAAGGATATTTCCTTTATTATCTTCTCTGATCAGTACTTGAGGCCTAGATTCAATCTCACCTTCTCCTAATAAATCTATCAACTCTTCATTATAAATCTCAATAAATGAAACCTTCATTGAAAATTTTCTTGATTTATATTGAGCACCATTCATCCAATTAAATAGAGTCGCCATTGATCTTGGTATTATACCTTTAGCATCGGCTGGCATGTTAGCATTATCAGCTGTACCCATTGTATGGGTTTTACCTGATGATGTTTGACCATATGCTAATATGGTTACATTATAACCTGTAAGATAATTGGTGTATGTGTGAGATAAAAATATAAATTAGATTTCATATGATTTATAAATAATAATAATCATTATAATTATTACCTTCCAAGAATTTCTCGACTAATTTTAAAACAGATTTCTCAAAAACATCTTTTTGAGCATCTTCTGGTCCAAACACATGATCGAAATTATATGGATATTTCTTGTCTCCATCTTGCACTATCACTTGATTTGGTGTAAATTGTGAAGATGTTATAACTGTATGTTGATATTTTGTTGGACAACTTTTTAAATCTTCCTCAGTTATTGGACGTATACGTACAGCTACAATATATATATCACATTGTGTGTGTAGGTATGTGATATATACGAGTTAAATGTAACAATGATGGTTTTTTGATTAGTTAGAGTAATTAATTAAATTTAATAAAAGAAAAATTAATTAAATTATTTTAATGGTCAGTTCTAAAATTGGGAAATTTCTTTCTAAAAATTAATTTCTATTTTTAAGTCTTTACTAAATGTAGAATGAAAAAAAAAAAGATCTAGTTCACCAATTCCATTTCAAATGACAATAAAGATTTTTTTACACGAACCTACTTGTACTGAAGTTTTCTCTGGACTTGTTGACATTTTAAGTAATTTTATGAATAAATAATTGTTTTTTCTGCCTCAAAATTTTGGTTTTTTTTTTATATGAATAATTTATATATATAATTTTTTTTTTATTAATAAATACATTCCACACTTTATTTTTTTAGCTTAGTAGTTAAATATACGAGGTACCAGCTCCGATATATTTTATGAAAAATTTTTATATATAATTTTTTTTTGAAATAAATAAATTATATGAAAAGTAAGTGAATGAATTGAAAAGCAAAAAAATATAAATTTCGGGTTATATAAAAGTTCAAGTATATATAAGTGTGTGTTTTTTTTGTGTATATGTTTTGTTGTTGTTGTCGTTGTTATATAGTTAGTGATATATCAGGTATATAATGCAAATGGTAAATATATAATTATTGTTTAGTAAATATTATTTTGATTGGTTTGGTTAAGAATGTCAAGTAGAAGGAGGAAAAATAACTTGAAAAACTTGAAAAACAAAATAATTGATAATTGTAATTATTGAAATTGGAAAGGGGTGAACGAGGTAAGGGTAAAAAAATATACCTGATATTTAATATAATTAACAAAGAAAGTATAAATAAGGAATTAGTGGCTAATATTATTTATTAATTTATAAATTCCACCTAAATTGAAAGAATTAAATTATTTTTCGTATGAAAAAAACTGGATTTGATGTATTTAAATGCATTACATTATTATTATTACGGGGTATGCTGCAAGTGAACATTATGTATTAATATGTCGCATAAAGATTTCAGGGATCGTACTAATACTAATTGTACTACGACCTACACTATGTATTAATAAATGATAATCATGCAAAAATCACCCGTAATTGCCAATTTTTAATTCCTAAATATGTTGCTGCGGTTTTGCATATGGAGGCATATTAGCATGTGGACATTCATTTGTTCCACAAAATCATAAAATGTTGCACAGTAAAAATGATTTGTAACGCGTTTTTTTAAAAGACTTAACCCAAGTTTTGCTAAAGTATTGATTTCTGATGTAGATGTAGCAGTATTTGACATATATAAAGCCATTCGATTTTTGACTGAACATGATGGTAACAGAGAATCATTACTTTTCATTTTAGACTTATTTCTATAAAGCAATTTTTTGAAAAAGGGTTCATACTTTGATACAGCATATCAAAAAGGCCTTTTAATGAAGGATCTCTTTCTTCAACCATTTTTATGAATTCATCAGGATCATTAATAATTCCATTTTTTCATGATGTTGACACTTGTATAAAACAAATAATAGTAATAAAATTAATATTTAATCACATTTAATGTGTTGACTTGATGGTCTAGTAATCTTTTCTAATTCTACTTTTAATTTGATTTGTAACTAAATTTAGTATTTGAATTGGTTTTCTTATTCTATATGGTGCATCTTCAGGTTTCTTTTGCATCTATTATATCTATCATATGCAATACAAGAATTATAACATTTAGAACATCTTTCACTTATATTAACTCATAATTCCCCACTAGTTGAGCCTTTCTTTTTTTATATTGCAAATGGAATGAAAACCGACAGGCATTTTATAATTAAAAATTGATGGTGAAACCCAATTCTTTACCAATTCTTGATAGTAAAATGATAATTTATAGGCACAAACCATCCCAGATATCAAATTCATATTATGAGATTGTGTCTGAAATTTAATATTTTTATTTATGAATATTTATGCTTTACTCTCAAAACTATCTTTCACTAGCATCTTGCTAAACAATATTTTCTTTAGATTTCACATTATATCCTGATCATGTTTCTTGGCAGGTGTTTCTTTAGCTGTTAATCCTATATTAATATTTTTTTGTTGATCATTTAATATGAAATTTCCTCCGTGTTTTATGATAAATTGATCGGCATTTCTGATTCATCAACCTCAGGTCTTGCATTCAAAATATCTGATGGAGTAAGACCTGACTTCTCGATTAATACCCCTATCGATGTATGGATGATGATCCAGATAAACGTCCAACTGCTAGAGAAATAGCAAATATTTTTCCAACACAAGAAAATTTGCCGTGTTACTTGCTGTCTTTTTCTAAATTCCGTAATTTTTTGTCAATTTTGCAAATTAATTTCTTTTTGTGTCAAGTTCTGTTTGGTCGTACAGCAAATATAATAATAAGGGTTCTTTGCAATTGCAATGAACTTCGCTCCCCCAAAAAATTTTTTTTTCATTCGAAAAAAGGTTCATTATATAGTCGAATGATTGAATATTATCAAACAGAATCTATTTTTTTAAACAATAAACAATATCTTTTAAATTATGGCTAAAATTTACGATTGATAATTTTTTTGATACAGATAATGTTATATGACAACGAGAAGTTGCTATTAAGTATTAAAGCGTGAGTTCGTTGGTAAGCTGTTTGAACACAACATCTGCAATGGAACGATAGGTGTGATCACCAAAGTTATAGATGATGATAATGTAGAAATTACCTTTCCAACAAATGGTAGCCAGGTGTATATTAAAAATTTTACGCGTAGGATGTGCACAAAATCTAATTAATAAATAAGGGTATTCGTAATAATAAAGTATTCGAGTATTTGCGATTATTATGTGTATTCGTAACTATTACAAATATTCGAATATGGCTAGCTAGAGTTATCCTATCTTGAAAAATAAACTTTTATCTTTTCTAATATCATAACTTTATTACCACTAATACTTGTTGTCAAACTTTTGATCTTTCAAGTATTTTTCTACGAACCTTGCCATTATCAGCTACTATAGCATAAATGTAGCGCATTGTGATCTTTATTATTATTATTATTTCATCTACACTTTTTGTGCAATCAGATTTTTCTCTTCATCCCAATGTAAAAATATCTTGCAACGAAGTATTAAATTTGTCGGGAAATGAGTTTTATCTTTTCTTTTAAATATCGTCATTTCTAAATAACTATCATGAATAAGCTTTCAAATTACCCGCAACTTTACATATTACACAAAAACTATACATAGTGTTGTAACATAATACGCACGATACAGTTAGACCAACTTTCTATTTACATTGTCTCACTTTTAAAAATATTACGATGGGACATCTTTAAAAAATGACAAACATAACTTACATGTAGCTTGGTAATGTCCATTACCAAGATGGTTACCGCGTGTAAAATATTCCCAGATATCATTATATTTTGGATTAAGTTTGTTTTTGTTATCAATAGCAAAATTCATCTTTAATTATTATAAGAAAAATATGATTTTTTACTTGAATGTAAGATTACATAAATGTTTATAATAATAGCAAATATTACGACATTGCAATTAGCTGCAACACCGTAATACCATAATTTTACATTACAGGTGTCAACTCCAATCATAAAATTAAAATGCCTTGTGCACCAATAGTTAATTGAGTAACCATTCCGATGATTATGACTATGACGTTATTATTAAGAATTTTCAGGTCATTTGATATAGTTTGCTTTTTTGGTGATCCATCTTCTTCATTATCAAAACTAATATTAAAACTTTAGTGGTATTATTAATATTATGCACAACTTCTGATGTTCGGTTGGATTCTTCTTTGGTGCCGTCGTTATATTTTTTTTTTTTTAAAAAAAAAGTAAATATCAACAGCATTTGAATAAATCATCGATACAACGTTTACTTTATTATAAAAAATTAATATTTTTATTTATTAATATCAATAATGTTAATAATATATTAACATTAATTTATCAGATTATTGTGTTTTAAAATATTGAAGATTTTTCTCAAAGAATTCTTCGACTTTAGTATCAGGAGCACTATTTATATGTTGTAAATCATCGGAAACCTTACCAGCTTTGCCGGTTCTGATCTAATCTAATAAATCCAATAATGTATCACAATAGTAACGATTAATTAATTCTTTGGTTGGTGGATAACTATCGCATTCGTTCTTTATATTATTACTAATTTGTAACTGTTGATTGTCGACAACTAAAGAATATAATAGCATTTTAGATCGTCACAAGAAATTTCTTCATAGTCAATCTTGGTTCCTGCCAAATCATTAAGTTTTTCAACATCATGCTCACAAGCTACACTTTCAGGTCCTGTTAATGCAACGATAATTGATTTTTCATCCTCGATGACGATATTTTTGGAGTTTTTTAATAAAGAAGCAAACAGTTGTTGGTTTTGTTGTCCAGTATGAGGCAAGGCAGCAATAACTTTTGCCAAAACTTTTCCAATATCGACTAAATCGATTGGTAAATACTTGTGTTGTTGTGCGTCCAATGTTAATTTGATTTTAACCTCGGCGTCAATCATTGGTTTAAAAAAAAAGAAATTTTGATACAACAATGGCAATCTATACATTATTATATCGTCGCGTGAGTATGTAATCACATTCTTTACATATAAAATCATATGCATCTATTTACCACATAATACCAATTTTTTCAAGATTTTTGTTTCAAATTTCTTTAAAAAGTTTCAAGGCAGGACAATCAGAGTCTGCTTCGATTATCGAAATTAGACTGACATGTTTAGTCTTAACTTTTTTAAATGACTGGATCATTTTATCGGAAAATTCGACTTTTCTTTCGTCGGATTCAGTGAAGAACATAACACCATCTAATTCACCAGAGAATGCCTTGTCTAAAGCTTTTGCTTGTCATAATCGATCAGATGAATCTCGGCACCTAAATCTTTCAAATCTTTTAGAAGCTTTTCATTTTGATGTTTTGCAATTGCATGAAGCACCTTTATATTATCGCGATGATTATAAAGTAAATAATGAGCTAATGAATGACCAATGTATTCATCTGTGGCGGTAATTGCTATCGAAGATTTACGTTTTTGTTCGTCTTTAACAATGGAAGAAGAAACATTCATAAAATTAGTGGAAAACATTTCGTGATAATAATAATAACAATAATAATTAGATAATGAGAGAGAAGTTATCAGCGTGTCAAAGAAAGTAAGTGATGAATTAATTCACGTTGTTTTATATTTGTTTTTAAACTCGTTTTCAAATTTAATCAATCATTATTATTATTATGTTTTATTATTTATTTATTATTATTATATATATAAATAATAAAGTTAATTTGTGTAACACTAATGATTTAGAAAAATAAATTTTTTTTTGCAACAGTCGAACAAACAAACAATATATAACAAAATAAATTTCAAGTCATATAATTCATCATTCAAATAACATATTAAAATATAAATAAAAAACATGTCAATTTTACCAATTACTTCGCCAAGGAATTCGTTTAATGAGGATGTTTATCCATACAAGCGAAGATCTAGTTATTGGACAGCATCTATTCCTATATTTTTAAGACGTTTATTTAGATTTCCACAGATGGTAATAGTATGTTTTTTTAAAGGTGTTTTATTAAAATATTTACTTATTTTATTAATGTTTCACACAAGTATTAATTATAGATAATGAATTTAGTTTTAATAAGGAAAAAAATAATTAACAATGTATTTTTTTTTCCTTAATAAAAATTAGGATTTTGAAATTGCATTGTGGCAAATGTTTTATTTATGTATATCACCTAGGAGAGTGTGAGTAATAATTGATAATTTAGATTTATAAATTCGTGAATAACAATAATAATTTAGAATCTAATAATGTTAAATTTTAATTATTATAGATATAGAAATATTTATTATCATAAGCGTAAGTTATTTTTTAGGGAATAAAAAATATATATCAAGATCATCAAAATTAGAAGTGGAAGTGGAAGATTAAAGAACAATATTAATTGATTTAATTGATTTAATTAAATTAGAGACAAAAAATCAATGGGCGAGAGATGATCCAGCATTTGTTGTAATTTTATCATTTCTATTAGGAAGTAAGGAATTATTTCTCGATCAATTAATATTGATATTAATATCCATCATCTTCAAATATTCACAACATCTCTTAAATATTTGATTTATATAGTATCAGCTATTGCATGGGGAATTGTATATGGACATGGAATTGTTGGAATCTTTAAAATGATAGCTTTCATGGTTTTTGTAGATTTTGTAATTGTTGGATTATTTATTTCATCAGTTTGTTGGTAATTAGCATGTGATTCATTTTAATTATATTTAATATTAATTATAATAATAACTTTTTAATCATCTAATCACTATTTAATAATATCACCGTTTAAAAATTATTATTATGTAACAGGTTATTTGCTAATAGATTTCTCACACATAAACGAACAATCCACGCTGTAGAACAGTCAGTTGAATGGGCATATGCATTTGATGTGCACTGCAACTCATTTTTTCCATTATTTTTGATTTTATATGTTGTTCAATTCTTTCTTATGAGAATTCTGGTAAAACATATTTGGATTTGTTTATTCCTTGGCAACACCATGTATCTAATTGCTGTAAGTTATTACTGTTATATAACATTTCTTGGATATAATGGTAAGTGATTGGGCAAAGATTTGGTGATTGGCGAATATTTTTCAAAAATAATCAATTTTTACTTATTTACTCAATTTTTTTGTAGCACTTCCATTTCTTCTGCACACAGAAATGTTTTTATATCCAATAGCATTATTTTTTATTTTTTATATTATTTCTTTATTTGGATTCAATATTAGTGCTAATGTATTAACATTATATTTTGGAAGTCATTGAAAATAATTTATATTATAAAAAAAAAGATTATTATTTTATTTTTATTTTTTGTAAATTATTAATTAATCTTATAAGTTATAAAGTTTTTGTTTTATTTTTTGTGTAAATTTTTTTTGAAGACTTAATCATTATTATATTAGAATTTAAAGAACATTCATTTATTTAAAAATTATTATATTTTTATTATATTTAAATTTACTAAATGTTAATATAATAGATTAATTATCCTTTAACTGTTGATGAAATCAAAAAAAAATTTTAAATATAATAATATAATATAATAAATTAGAAAATATGAAACAAGTAAATAGACTGTTACAACGCTTATTAAAAAGTAAATTACAAAAAAATAATATCCACATTACTATTTCATGTGAATTATACTATTTTTTAGATATAACAATAAGGTGTATTTATGAAATATCTATATTTACTTGCATAATTATAATTTACATGCATGATGCATTCAAGCATCCATATTAATTTGATTAGAATCTATAATTATAGATATATTAATATTGCCAATTTTAATATTGATATTATTTAATTAAAAAAATTATAATTAAAATTAAATAATAAATAATTACCATTATTATTTCCAATGATTGTGACTTTATTGGAGTTTGCAGGCTGAGGAAGATTTGTAAATTAAATGGTCTGCTGATATAAATAGCATTTAAAGGGTCATATTTAATCTTATTCATTTCATCAAATATTTTTCTAATTGGTTTTTCTTTTCTGGATCCAGATAAGTGAAATTTAATTTTTGAAATAAATAACAAGTACAATTCTCTATTATTTTTAACAATTCAACTAATTCATTTAATAAATTGCTAATTCTAATCAGCTAGAAATTTCCATTGATCAATTCATTCAATTTGGTAATGAGTTTATTAAATAGTTTGTATGGATCCATTCCTCCTTTTTTATGTAAAATATAAGATTGAAAAAAAATAAGTTTTTTTAGTTTTTTTGTGATATGTATATTTAATAAATCCTATTACAGTAACTAATTCTCAGGAAGGTAAAATATTTAATACTTTTGCAAAATATTTAACAGGCCGAATCATTATTAAATCTTTCATCAACTGAAATTGAAAATGTATAACACCAATTTTCATGTTAATTATTTGATTTATTATTTGATAATAAAGTTTAAATGAAATAGATAATTTGAATCAAACATGGGTATAGATCATTTAATTTATGATCTACTCAATCCTGATGAATATACATGCTATTTATTAATTTATGGTCATCCTTAAAAATTCATTATTATTGTTATCAATTACACCCATATAAAAAAAAAAGGCATTGATTCAGCAAAAATAATCATTTGATCAAACCACTGAACATATCCCTCAAAGTTTTTGGCATTTTGGATGTCTTATGAAGGTATTTCTGAATCATGTTCACCCTTGAATAGTCGGGCTGACTCAATTGCACCCAACTTGATGTTTTGTTCCACACTATTGTGAGATCAAAATCCGCGTCTCACACAAATCTCTTGGATTTGGTTAAACTAATATTTATTTCATTTTATCAGTTATGTAATTCTTTGATTACTTTCTCTTACTATATCGCTCAAACTATTTAACTATGTACAGGGCAAGTTTCCTTACTTCCCTTCCGGTAACGTTTTCTCAGCAGTTCTTTCCCTTGAGTATTGTATTTTCATAATTATCAAGAATAAAAATAATAGAATGAAATTCTTTGACTATAATTATGGTTTGGCCAACCTTTAATATATATCAGATCAATAAAATTAACCTCCCTTTTCACAGCATTTTTCATCTAGCAATCACATATCAATAAAAAACATGTTTCCATCTGCCAAAAAATGTTTGAATAACATAAATATCAATACAGAAGTTGTTCAAAAAATCAAACTTGTTCATTCTATACATTGTTGAAAGAGTGAATATGTAAATTAACCCAATTGAATTTTTGTTTTATGAGGTTCGTTCACCTCCTCTTCATGTCTCAAAAAGCACATTGTCATAACTTTTTTTCTAATAGTGGAAAATTGAGAAAACACAGAGATTTGACAGCTTCACAAAAGATCGTTCTGGAGGAAGATTTCATGATGACATAATAAAAAAATAGATTCATTATTGCATGCAAAGGATATCCGGTTTTTCAGGCAATTTCAAAAAGTAAATACTGGCGGCAAAGATATATACTAATACATGATGGAATAATATTTCCTAAATTTAAATATAATTAACTTGATTAGGCATTGAAAATCATCCAGATTTACAAAGATTGGAGTTGATTTTGGTAATGAAAGCTGCAACTTCAAAAATCGCATCTCCGACATGATGAAGGTCCTTGCAACGCTGTTTCTATTATCTTATTCCCATTCAGATGGTCGTTAGTCTATGGATTAATCAAAAAACTATTAGCAGAATCGCGAATTGAGTTTAAATAATGATGATATGGCATTATCAATTGTTGAAAAAGTAGAGAGGATTGGATTTCCAGCATATTTTGGTAGCGCAGGTAAATGTGTAATGGGTGATTGCTTGGCATGGTGTTGCCACTTCATGCAAGTGGGCCCATTTGTCTTTGGCCACTGTTGTATGTATACATGCAGCCCAAATTGGTTTGGTGATTTCAATGGTCAAAATTATGGTAGAAAGTAGAAATTAATTATGGCACTCGCTATTAAAAACATAAGTGTAACACCCCTTTACTACAAGTGTAACCCCTTTATGACAGTGTCAAAATACTTTGGGCTGCATGTATAGTTGTATGTGAAATTGAAATTATGTGAAATTGAAATATTATGGAGTGGGGTGAAATTCTGATTGGCTAATTTGAATTTCACATATGTGAATTGCAAATTCACATAATTTCATTTTCATGTACAACAGGGACAAATCGATAAAAATGTAATAATTACCACTTTGAATAATAAAAGAACCATAAGATTTAATTACACATAATTTCTTGATCGATAAACAATTATCCTTAAACTCTTTCACTTTAATTAATTAATTAAATAATTAATTAGTCAGATTATTGTGGGGACGCCTCTTTAATCTTGACATGTAAATATTGTAAATAGTTGTAAATAGTTATTTAGAGTCCTAAGCCTAGGTTGTGTTTATTTATCACATAAAAGGTCTTAGTTAAAGCCTAAGCCTAGGTTGTGACACTGTCATTTAAAAGGAGGTTAGTAGCTGATTTGCTACAATTATTATTTGTTTTAGCTAGTGTATTTTATTGGTTAAGTGAGGTTTCGCTTGTAAAGTTTTAATTGGCCAGAAGGTATTCCAGTTTGGAAGTAATTCCTGTTGTTATATTGATTTATAGATTTATTTGATAGTTAATAGTTTTATTAGTTTTATTAGTTTTTAAGATATATTGGATTTAGAGTTAACTTGGATACAAGTCAAAATTTCCATCTCACAGTAGTTATTTTCCTTTTAAAGATTTTTGCTTTTTATTAGGTAATAATGCATCATCATGATATTTTCTTTTTCCAACATTTATTATTTTTCTTTCTTCTTGGTAAATTTCATAGATAATCTTTTCTTTTCTTAGGTAAGCTTCCAGTGTCTAAATATCATTTATTTTGAAAATATAAGGAACAATTTTTTCACCTTGTTCCTTCTTCAAAATACTTCTGATAGTGCTATAATTCCTGGGTTCCATGGTAGACCTAATGTAAATTAACTTCATATTAACTATTTTATATAGAGGTAATTCTATATATCACTTAATATTAAGAAAAAACAAATATAACAAATGGAAGATTTTAATAATCACATTATTAAGTTTTGATCCTTGAAATCCTTGGTAATACTATGTTCACTTTGTCTGGTATGCCCCATATGTGTTAACAGGATTTGAATTTGCTAATTGAAAATACTATTTTTTTTATATATATATTTAAAAATATATGTATTCAATTTTGATATTTTGTATAATCCCAAAAATGGGATAATTTGCATTAATTAAACATGATATAAGGAATATACATGAAGTCGAAACTATTTTGACCATTTGCAGATCTGGTCGAAGTAGGGTCGAAATAAGGTCGAAATTGATTTTTACTATGTAGTTTCCTCAAGTCAAAACATTTCGACTTTGGGGTTTTAATTTCAACTTCATGTATAATAAGGAACAAGAATTTGCTGTACTTTAAAAGTGACTTTGTAATATACTTGCTGCCCAAAGTCCCAAATCCCAAATCCAAATAGGTTAAAACTATTTGGGACTTTTACTCTCAAAAATCCCAATTGTTAAAAATGTCACAAATCTCAAAGCTGTCACAAATCCCAAAGCCATCCCAAATCCCAAAAATGTCCCAAATCCCAAAGCTGTCCCAAATCCCAAATCTCAAATCCCAAATCCCAAATGTCCAAATGATCCCAAATACATAGTCCGAAATAGTCCTAAATCCCAAAATGTCCAAATCCAAAATCCCAAATAACAGTCATATGTTCTAAATTTGATCAGTTGTGTAATAAAAAAAATTTTTTTTTGCCATAATAATAATAATAATGGAAAAATTTTAATGCTTGTAGGTAAGCTTTCTTTTACATTTAATTTCTCTTCTTGTGTTGAGTTACATTTATAATTCATTTATTTATTGCATTAATGATAAATTTGTATTTAAATTGAAGCTTGGTAAAGATTTTTTTCATTTTTTGTTGAATTACATCTAATGTAATTTTATTACAAATATAAATCCGTTGTGGCAAGATTAGTAAATTAAAGTTTATTATTATTATTATTATTATAATCTTACCACAACGGATTTTAAATGTGTCATTACCATTATTTATTTGTCCCGTTCATCCGCTGTTTGCCTGTATTGCGAATATCTTTTCCAACAAAGGTTAATACGATTTTCTTTATATATAGGTAAGTTATTCACATGATATTTTCTTTAAAAAAAAAATCAGAGAAAAATAGAAATTATTATAATATGTCTTCTTCTTTCAACAAGTTAATTTATGATTCAAAACCATTAAAACCATTTAATTCCGAAGAAATTAAAATACTATTACTAGAAAATATTAGTAAAGTTGCAGTAGAAATTCTTTCGAAAAAAGGGTATCAGGTATGAATTTTGTTGTACATGTGGTGCAGTTTAGAAGAATTAATTAATTAACTAATTAATTATTAAACCTTATCGTTATAAATATCTAATTATTGTTATTATTGTTAAAAGTAATAACCTTATTATCATTATAAATACTAATTATTACTACTTTTCTCTTCAACGCAAAAAAAAAAGGTTGAAGTGCATTCAAAAGCTCTTCCAGAAGACGTACTTTTAGAAAAAATTTGCAATGTTCATGCAATTGGTATCAGATCAAAAACCAAGCTTACTGAGAAAATACTCAAAGAAGCCAAAAAATTATTGGTAATTGGATGTTTTTGTATTGGCACAAATCAAGTTGATTTAGAGGCAGCGGCCAAACAAGGCATATCAGTGTTCAATTCACCATTTAGTAATAGTAGAAGTGTTGCTGAATTGGTAATTGCCGAGATTATTTGTTTGTCAAGACAATTGGGAGATCGTAACAATGAGATGCATCAAGGTATTTGGAATAAAGTTTCTTCGAATTGCTATGAAATACGTGGTAAAACCCTTGGTAAGTTGCTTTTTTTCATTTTGATTAGAAATGTTTTTAATTATAACTATCATCATTTTTTCATCGTCATTATCATCATCGTTTCGTCACCTTCACTTCCTCCTTTTAAGGTATTGTTGGGTATGGACATATTGGATCACAATTATCAGTTCTAGCAGAATCAATGGGAATGAATGTGTATTTTTATGATATTATTCAAATAATGCCGTTAGGTGGCGCAAAGCAAGTGAAAACACTAGATGAATTATTGGAAATCTCTGATTTTGTCACGTTGCATGTCCCTGAAACAGAAGAAACCAAATTTATGTTTGGTGAAAAACAATTTAACCTAATGAATGAGAGGAAAAAGAAAAACAATATTAAAGGTGGTGGTAGTTATCTAATAAATGCATCACGTGGTTCAGTTGTACAGATACCAGCATTGATTAAAGCTTTGAATGAAGATAACATTTTAGGTGCTGCTATTGATGTTTATCCACGCGAACCCTCATCAAATGGTAAAAACTTTAATAAAGAGATGAATCCTTGGACCCAAGAATTGCTTGCTTGTAAAAATTTAATTATGACACCACACATTGGTAAGTAATAAAAGGAATTCCCCAAAAAATTATTAAAAATTTTTTTATTATAATAATGGAAATTTGGTTTTTAGGTGGGTCTACTGAAGAAGCACAACGCATGATTGGTATCGAGGTAGCAACAGCTTTGTATAAATACATAAATCATGGTACATCTATAGGAGCAGTTAATTTTCCACAGATCAATCTTCGAGCAATTGAAGCTGCTGAAAAGAATTCAATTCGTGTACTCGTTGTTCACCATAATGTTCCTGGTGTTCTCAAGGTATTATTAATTGTAAAATATAATAATATATATAGATAAAGGTTTAATAGTATTGAATGAATTAACAAGTATTTCAATTTATTTGTAGGAAATCAATCAAATACTTTCGGGTCATAATGTAGAAAAACAATATTCAGATTCTAGAGGTGATATCGCATATATGATGGCAGATATTTCTGGAGTTGATGAAGCAGAAATTGGAAAAATTTATGAAAATATCAATAATAGTAGAGCTAGTATTTTAACTAGAATTGTATATTAAGAGTTTGTATATATGTGTATGTGTGTATTAAAGAATTATATACATATTTATAAGTTTTAGAGGAAATTCAGCTCCTCATATTTTAATTGTATTTTATAGATGTGATAAAAAATTTTTTACCTAAATTTTTTTGATGCCAGTATGACTTCTATAGCTTGGGATCTTATTTTATTGACTAAGATCCATGTATGTATATATATAATAATTTTTAATATTTAAAATTATCTTTAATTATTCATGTGTGATTCTCGTTAAAAAAAAAACCATTATCAGAAATTAATACTTAAAATCATTTATTTTTGAGTAATCTTGATTAAAAATATCTTTTATAAAAATATCTATACCTGATACTGAAAACTTATCATCTTCAAAAAAAAACCCCAGTAAAATCCACTAAAAATACCTGATTCAAATCTTCTATAACATTGATATTTTTGTAGGGTGAGTTCACATCAATTGTTATTATTGATGATGACCCGAAATTTTTAGGAGGGGGAGGGGACTTAAATCGACCCCACTGCTATACGTAATTGTGGCTGGAAAATTGGCTGCTGGCTAGTTTGACTCCAAAAAAATTATATTTGTCACACGAAATCAAATAAATAATTTTTAAAGCTTGATGTCAAAAATGATTTTATTTTCTAATTTTTTCAAATCACTAATTTAACTATTATAATGGCTGGGTTAAAAAGTATGTAAATAAAATGATACTTTTTATTTATTATTTTTGAAATTAATAAATTTTCTTTTTTTTTTCATAAAAAATAAATGCCCAACCAAATTAATAATGAAATATTAGCGTAAGTTTACATTTTATTTTAAAAGGATGGAGAGAAAAAAGGAATTATATATATCGAAATTCATTGATTGATTAATTAATTAATTATAATTATTTTGATTTTAGAATCATTTCTTTGTCATTTGTACTTGCTAGCGGATTTTTACTTGCCATATTATCTGGTGCATTATACGAGTAATCACATTAATATTATGATTAGTTTAATGGATTTTTTTATTTATTTTATAAATGCTAATTAAATATTTTTGAATCCCAGTAACTGGTGGCCATTATTTGTTGGTAAATTTACTTTTTTACAATTTTATTTATGATAATATTTTCATTATAATGATATTTTTTAAATACTATTTAAAATTCAATTGCTTTAGTTGCTGTTTTTGTTTTTGCCCCAGTACCAAACTGGATCTTCTCAAAATGTGGACATGATAGCGATTACTATTCGGATGACTCGAGGTTAATAATAACAATAATTTTATTCTATTTATTATCATATTTATTATATATACGTTTAAGTCTTTCGCGAACAAATTTGTCCATAATATTTTATTTTTTAGTAATGGATATAAAGATTTTGGAAAATTTGTAACCTCTTGGTTCATTGTTAGTGGAATATGTTAGTAATACTTTATTATTTTTCAAATTATTACAATAATAATAGAGTGTAATAATATTTAAATTTTATTTTTAATAATACATTAACTAGGTTTACCAATTGTTCTCATACATGCATCAGTGGTAATGTATAATATACAATTAATATTAAACATTCATAAATGAAATTTGAACGATCTTATATCGTGTTAATATTTTTAGATATCGATCCCTGCAATGATAATGAGTATTGGTGGAGGCGCCCTTGTTTATACCACAGGTAAATATTCATTTTTTTTTGCTTTATTTATTCATTTATTCGTTTATTCATTTATTTTATTTTTTTGATATTATTAGTTATTACATTTTGTCACTATTTTGCCACTGAAAATAATGATTTTTAAATTTGAGGGCGTTTTTTGTATATTAAATAATGTAACTTATATTTGGGCGTATATTTATTAATGACATAATTTAATTACTCTTTTTCTTTCGATTCAAATCATCAAGTATTATATTACTTTTGTTTATTATATCAACACATTCAATAATTCTTTCATGCTATCTTTACAGTTTTCGATTTTATTTTTGAAAAATTTATATTTTATTTAAACATACTGTCCATATTTATAATATAAATGTTACTATTATTATGATTGAACTTACAAACAAATAAAAAGAATTGTCTGCAGCACGCAAAAAAAAAATCATAATCACATAACTTACCAAATCTATATATCTTCATGCCAAAAACAATAATAATAATTGCAGCTGTTAATTATTTTATTTCTATTTCTTTCTTTTGTAATTCTATTTGTAACTCTATGATGCATTATTATTATTGACTAAATTTTTTGGTTTACATTCATTTTCTCCGATATGTCTTATAAAAACAGAATCTGGTGGATGATCCTTTTCACCTTCTTCGAATGTATAACTACTCGCTATTGCCAAAAATTGTCCATCTTTACTGAAATCCAAACTTGCAATACTGGTTGGATATTGTGGATATTGCAATATACGTTTCTTATTAAACCCATCCCAAATATTTACAGTTCCATCTGCTCCACCTGATGCAAAAGTGCCATGACTATTCATTAAAATATATATAATATATAGTGATGATGTAGTGCATATTTATATCGATGTGGTTGCATAGCGTAAAAATCAAAACTTTGTTAATTGATCTTTGACTTTTTTCTGTTTCAGCTTTCCTAAATAAAAACATACATACATTGGATGAAATGCTAAGGCGTTGACAGGATAAACAGTATCTACACCATCAATAACTTTTCTGTGACACTTGAAAGCGTATTTACGAGCTTGTATTTCAGGTGATGGATCAAAAAAATCTACAGCGACCCTCCCTTCAATCGAACTACTTGCATAACCTAATATCAAAAATATATCAAAAATTATAGTTAAATATCGATAAATAATCAACCATATACAATCGTGTCTCTTTTATATCCCTTTTTGTTTTCATATGTTTTTAGACTTTTCGTGGAATATAACCGAGAATATACAATATGGAAATTCATCCCAGCTATGATATGGTGGAAGATGGGGACATAAAAGAGGTATGATTGTAAAATAAATAGAGCAGCTAACATATATACATATATATATATATATAACAACCTTCTTTATTTGGCATGCATTTTACACATCTAATCATATATTTTAAGGAACTTTCTCGTTTTTGAAGTGCCTCCGTCATATTCCTTTGATCATATATAAACAATTGTCTGCCAGCTGTTGCGATTACTAATTTGGTTCCAACAAGTGATATGGTAAAAACTTTTGCACCTTGTCCCATTGAATATGTCCCAATTTTAGGATCATTTGCTCGTGGATCCCATAATTTAATAGTTGCATCCCATGATCCGGACACTATCATATCTAAAACATAGTTTGAAAGAAATGCGTGTGTGTGTCATAATATAATCAAGTATTAAATGAATCGATAAACCAATTGATCACTTACTAGTTTCTGCGCAATATTCTATACATTTCACAGCTTTATCATGAGTTCCAATTATAGTATCATTAGAAGTATTAACATCGAAACTGATTAAAAAAATCGTAAATAATAAAGATATAAAAGAGAAAAAACTATATATATAAATATGTTCTCTATCAAAACCTTCTGACACATTGATCTAATCCTGCACTATAAACACATTCTCTGTCTGAAAAACAACAATCAAGAACTGCTGCATTATGATCAAATGAGGCTCTCAAGGAATTCTCCGAAACATCATATAATTTAACAGTCTAAAAAAAAAATAAAAAAAGGAATAAAAAAAAATAAACATTTCTTTAAAATTAATAAAATCAATAAATTTAATTTGATGATACCTTATCCCACGAAGAAACGATTAAATAATTTGAATGTGTTGGGCTAAAAACAACTGAAGAGATTGCATCAGAAGGTGGATCAAATAACTCGTATTGATGTTGCTGCATAATGATTAAAAATTTTTTAAAATAATACAAAAAAAGCGCATTAAAAAAAATTGACGTAATGTTTCACAATGTAATCTAACCGTGTACAAATACGGTTTGTTATTTTGACAATTAAGAGAGAACATCTCAAAGCGATAATTACGCTTATTAAGTTTATTATTACCAATGACCAAGACCTCACCTCGACGAATCCCACGTAGACGAGGAGATTCTTCTAGACAAGCTGCTTTCACTTTTCTTTCTAATATCAGCCTTGATAACAACGATCGTAGAACACAACAACCACAACTACCATTTCAAAAATCTCATCAAAAACAAAAACAAAATCAATTAATAAAACATCAATCAGAAGAACAAGGGGAGTTAAATTCATCAAGCAATATACCAATCAACGACAAACATGACAAAGCTTCATCTTTTCCAGTTACTATTATTAATAAAGAAAATAATAATACCAATAATACCAATTACGACAGCAATGGCACCATCAACAAGGATAATAAAAAACCAGACTTGCATATTGACACCAAAAAAGCGTTTAGCACTATTGAAAAAGTTTCTAATAATGAAGCAACAACAGGAAGCCATGTTACTTCCAAAACTGGAATATCACCCAATAAAAAAATATTTAATAACGATAAAACTTCCCCCATAGTTTTAAAGGAGGGTCATCTTGACAATTTAAATTCTTCTAGTGATGTCCGTTTAAGAAGTAATAGCCTTCGTGAAGAAGCAGCTATAAATTTCTTGACGAACATTAATCTTGACTCTAACAGGAATCAACATCCTTCAAGAGAAAGTTTAACTAGCCCAACAACAATTTCAGTGTTTGAGGCTAGTGATGATAACTTACTCAATGAAGTAGATGATAATGTGGGCAACCAAGAAAATTTAGAAGGTTCATCATCATCGCCATCATCTGCTTATGTTAGAAGACGTAGAAGTTCAAGTTTGTGTCATTGTAGTAGAATTTTGCAAAATATTTAACATAAGGATTAATAAATTGCTCACTATATTTTATTATATTAATTACTGTAGCATCAACATTAAATTCCGATACGAGTTCTTCTTCTTCAATTTCTTGTACATTGTCTAACTCTCCAAATCATCCAACGGCAACAAAATCGTTATCAATTACCCGCAATAAATTGGAACAACATCGCCCAAATAAACAAGCAGATAATGTGATTAACACTAATCCTATCAGCAATAGTACTTCTATTGGTGATCAAAATAATAATCGTAAACAACAACAAAGTGGCGTTGGTTCATTCTTGACTACTTCGGTGAGTAAAAATATCACGATTTTTATAAATTTGAAATTATTCTATTAATTTATATGATAATCATAATTATAATATTGTTGTTGTTGTTTAAAGGCACCGCTTGGAATTTTTTCAATGTTGGGATATTCAGACAAGAAGTCCAAGCATCAGAGAAATCATAAAGAAAATTTGTATGTCTATTATTTAATGAGATTTTTTTAAAAATGTTATTTATTTATGAGATTTTAATGTTTCGAATTTATAGAAAAAAAATATCAACAGATTTGGAAATTACAAAAAGTAGAAAGGTAATTGTTTGTTATTATAATTCTTAACTGCATCATTTTTTGGTAAAATTTTTAATTTAATTTCATATGTTACTTTGACTTAAATTTAATAGGCCGAATCATTTGCATACCTTTTGGCGCCTAGTAAAGCATTAAGGTAGCTTAAATGGTTTTTATATATGCATGTTGTATATGCGTGTTGGTTGAGTAGTTGTATTAGAAGTTTGAGGATTAATGGTATATATTTATAAATTTATATATAGTCCGAAACAGGTTACGAGCAATTATGATCCAAGATCGTTAGATGACCCAGAATTGAAAACAGAAAGACAACCTTCTTCAAACGAGTTTCAAGAAGCCAAACCAAACAAACATCGTTCAATGTTAAGTTTGTCAGGGCTTATGGTAAAACTTGCGTCTAATAATACTAATTGTTATTATAATTATGATTCATTAATTAATAGTCATTATGAATAATGTATTTAATTATTATTATTAGGGGTCATTTATCCATCATAATAATACTCGTCCTATTGATATGAAACGAGAAGCTAATGAAAGATTTCGTCAATTGCATCCTGAAATTGATCCATCTTTAACTCTAAGCCAAATTCGAAAAGTCAAGGCTAAATTATTGGCAGCAACTACTTACGAAGTTTGTTTCTATTATTATTATTATTATTATTAAGGAGTAGGAGATGGTGTCCTGTTATTAATTATCAATCATATGTTTGTTTAAAAAACTAGAATTTAGATTTAGAACTTTCTACTGTCGCGAAATCATATGCATATTTTGAAAAACTTATTTTAAAGGTATTTTTTTTTTTTGCTTTGCTCGATTTTTCTTGTTAGTATTGATTCTAAAATTGAATTTTTTTATTGAATTTCTAGAATGTGGTGAATAAATCGAATCGAAAGTTGATTGGAGGTATTATTATGATATATAAATAATTATTATTTTGAATATTTGTTATAAAAAAATCTTATATTAATGATTTATTATTATTATTATTATTAGCAATCTGTTTATTATTAGCCAGTAAAGTGAATGAACCAATGAAAATGTTATATACACCATTATTAGAGGTATATATATTTTTTCTTTATTCATTGATTTCCATTTCAAATCAAATTTATTCATTTGTGTTCTAAATAAAAATAAATTTTAGTCACTACATAAAAATTTGGAGGTTACGAAAAAAGAAATTTTAGAACAAGAATTTTCAGTTTTTTCATCTTTAGAATTTGAACTTTATCTACATAATCAAGAATATATGCCACATTTCGAAAGGCTTTTTACTAATTTGAGTAAGTGGAAAAATGTGATTCTTTTAAAAATCAAAAATTATGTTTTATGGTTATCTAACATTACACTCTAATTTTTTTCCCTTCTCCCAATAAAGATATAAAAAATAAGCAGGAATATTTGGGCGACAATCCTTTTTACGAAATTAATTATTCAAAAAGAAATAACGATATAGATTTATAGTTTAAATGATTTTATATATATTATTCTATTTATTTATTATTTATTATTAATCACATAGTAATATATAACTTTTTTTCAATTTAAATATTAATAACATAAGAATTTAATAATATATACAAAAGAAATAAAGTAAATATTGATATTAATAGAATAGAGAAAGTATTTCTATGTCTTTTTTTTAGTTGGTAAAATATTTGCGCCTAATCCTAAATGTGTAGGACGTGGTTTTGGTTCTTGTATATCTTTTAATCTAAAAAATGATTTGCTTTATTATTACATAGATCGGACAGTGATGCAATAATAGCAATAATGAAAATTTTATTTTTGCATACTTGACATTCTGATTTCTTCCAATTGCCATTCCTGGTTTCCATCCCATATTTTTTAGCATATTAAGCCCATATTCTTCTACGTTAATGCTTTCATAATCAATTTCTTTCTATGAATGTGAAATATTTATATTATTATGATTATTAAATGCATATAAAATATATGTGTGTATATATATTCTTACCTCATCAGGACAACTTTGAATTTGATTTTTAAAAGTTTCCAAAGCAGAAACTTGTTCTTTATTACTTTCTAATTGATATTGATGATGACCAGTATTAGTGATTCTGTCTCTTAAATATCCAATTGAAAGTTCTTCTTTTAATCTGTCAAGCTGATTTGATTTGTCTGATGATGATGTTGTTGTCTTTGTAACGATTAATCCGAATTTAATAACATCGCCACTAGCTGTTAATCCACCATCACCATTATCATCGTCAATAGACATCTTATCATTATTTGATGAATGTTTGCTCCTTCTTGATATTTTTTTTTCTCTTTTAGAATCAGAACTAAAAATGATAAAAATATTAACCTTGGATAAATCTCTAGAGTTTTTAATATATCGAAATCGCCAAATAAGAAAAAATAATATAATATGTACATACGATCGTGATCTATTATCTTCAAAATCTGTTATTGGTGTAATTTTTTCTTTCATGTCTTCATCTTCGCTTATTTTTCTTTTTTTAGATGTTGTTGCATCAGTTGAAAAGGCGGATAATGTTTTTTTTTGGAAAGTTTTATTTTTATTTGACTGAAAAGACATTGAGAATCCACTACCACCACTTCCACCACCACTTCCATTACTACTGCTGCTACTTGATCCTATCTTTTTCGATTTATCTTGTTGCATTTTTATTTTATTATTATTATTATTTAAATTTGCATATCAAGTTCGTGTTACCACTATCATTAATATTAATATCCGTTTTTAAGTTATACCGAAATTAGCCAATCATCAAGAGAAAAAATCTGTAAATGAGTGTCCGTCCCCTTTTTGTGAAGAAACCAATTACTTCAAATTACTGAATTATCAGATAATAATAATGATGAAATAACTGATGATGATGAATCTGGAGCTACATAACAAACTGAAACCAAAAAAAAAAAGATTGAAAAACCATTAATAAACATTGGTTTAGAATTTATTTATGGTTAGATACTGAAGATAAGTAAACTTTGTAAAAGTAAAAATATTTGCAGTGGGTATAAAAAGTTTAAAATTAAAAAGAATGCAAAAAAAAATAAAACTAATGACAGAATGAATTGACATAGAAGAAAATTCAGACAAAGAAAAATTGGTAATCATTTCATGATTATTCTTCATCCAAATACAAACAAAATCTTTCCGTAAATATTTATCCTGATTTATATAATTAATATCATTACAAATTGAGAATAATAATAACAATAAAAAGTAAATAATTACTTTTACTTTAAAAATCCCCATCATTAGAAAAACCACCAAAATATCTAAATATGGGAGCTATAAAATCCTATGGCTGGTTTTTTAGCTTTCCGTGATAAAATAATCACAGGACCAGTCACGTGATAAAAACCATAATTTTCCCGTTTTTGTTTTTGAAAATGATGTTAAACCTTTTTTCAGTTTCAGAGTTTCGAGATAGTTTTTATTTGAATAAAGTACAATCTTTTGACGCAATTGAATACTAAAATCAATTAAATTAATTATGAATATTTAGAATAATTTGAATAACTCTTATTCGAATAGAAACTCTAAAAATAATTCTCACTCGTTTTTTGTTGTTAATATAAATTACACGAACGTAAAACTTTTACGTATATTAATGTTAAAAATCTCACTCGTCTCTACATCTCCAGGATAAAACCCTTTTTTCAATATTCTTAAAAACCTCCGCATAATAATAGATATGTTCTTTGACATTTGTTTCATGACGCAAAATAGAAACCACTTTTTATGGTACTAAAGCATAGTACCATTTTTTTTATATAAAATCGTCAATTAGTAAAATTTATGGCTTTTTCCTGATCCCTATTTAGAGTTCACTCGGATTGTCGATTAAATTCTCTGCTTTATTGGAGCCTAACTAGTAGTATTGATATTTAGCAAGAAAATATTTAGGTACGATAATCTAGAATCAACTAGAGGTTGGAACGGCCAAAAGATTCTAACCGGTTAAAAACCGGTTAAGTATATAAAAAATATAAGCAGAGATTAACTTATAAATGTATATTTCTTTTAAATAATGAACAATTCTTATGTCTACTCACTACGAATCAACTATTGTATTATCTTTCAATAAGCTATGATAACATTAATAGGGTTAATAACATTAAAGCAAATTATGATGACGATAAATTATAATTTACCAAATTACAATGCTTCAAAGATTTCAATAGGTAGTAAATCAATCCCACTTTCACTCTTTCCATTCTCTTGCATTAGCCGATAACGTGAGACAATTAAAATTTTGTCATTTTTAAATTTCTATAATTAAAAACCGATTCAGGATTTTGGCTACGTGTTAATATTAATTAATTTTCTCATTGTTATTAACCCGCATTTCGACATGCATGCCGATCCTTTACATTTACAAAATTGCGAACGGATAATGGAATAATGGGATACTTTGATATTAACCGGTTAACTAACTGGCTAGACTCAACTGACGAAGAAAATATTTACAGACATTTTGTAACAATATAGTTCACTTCAGAAGTGATGGTGCATCTAATATGAATGGAAGGTTCAAAACAAACAATTCATTCATATCATCAAGTCATTGTGTATCACAAGGCTTCATTCAACAGGAAAAGATGCTTATGATGTGTAAAGTTAATGATGAACCATCACTTAAAGTATTGAATTCATATGACACTATTTTCAAATGCTGAGAGTAACTTTATCAAATTATGAACTTTGCACTTGGCATTATAAATGATGATATGGTGAATGATGATAGGCAATCAGAATCAAGAATTTATTACTGCAACAATGTTTCTTGCTGGTTTAACAAATATTTAATCAATATGTTTCAATTAGAAAATCTATTAATACCAAAATTTAAATTAGCCCTTGAAAACACTATTAAAGATATAACATCTGGATTTATGGGTATAATATTTAGATAAAGATAATCAGTTAGTACTTTTGTTTGTTAAAAGAATACTCATTGGCAACAATAGAATCAATTTTCCCTAATCTATACTTCTCTTTTTAATATTTTTGATCCAAAAGAACTTCTGATAATGAGATAAAGTTTCTAGATCAATTTTATGGTGAAACTAAGTATATGATTTTCATGAAAAAGGAAACTTATAGAAGAATGGAGCTTGGTAAAATCCTATCTTCAATTTTACAAACATACAAAATTGGACTTTATTCAATTGTGAAAACAAATTTGGGTAATGATGAAATTTTTTCTTTTTATTTTATGTTCAAGAAAGAATTTTCTCACAACAAAATAAGGAAATTAATTAATGGATTTTGAAAATCATATGAGTGTTGGGGTAAATAAGAAAACAAAAAGGAATATAAATATAAAATTTAAAAAAATCATTGTGTTAAATTTATTGTATTTTATAATGTATAAAATAATCATTATTCATTCATTTACATTATTATACAATTTCAATTCCATCTAAAAAACGGGTTCAACATATAATAAATAAATCGTTACACTACTATATCTTTATGGTGGATAATATATACAGCCATGTGATTGCTGCGTCACTACACTATTACCATCTTTGGTAATATCCAACTGACATAACAAGTCAGAAGAAATTATTATTATTATTGTTAGATGAATAGTGAACGGCGATTGCGAGCTTCACGGATTTAAAACGAGGTGTATGGAGCATTTGCAGCCGTCACAAAATGTTGAATAAGACTACCTACCAGTCAGCAACTAGTCCAATTTGAAATAGGAATCATGAATAGAATTTATTTATAATATACTCTTCAAATATTTGACATATTATCCAAAATATATTTTCTTTTTAATTTAAAAGCATTGATAGATCTTTAATAACCATCGTTAAAATTAGCAATTAATATTAGAAAGCCTTGAAAGAACAAATAAATAAACAATCAGTATTGTAACCTAATAAAGAACTTCATTATAAAAGAAAAAACTGTGTAATCAAAATAAACGTAATTTTAAATACGAATATTAAGGTTAAGAGTCAAAAAAGTTAAAATGAATTGATCACGAGGGGTTGGTTGGTTGATTTATTTTATTGGTAGATCCCAATAACCCCTATTATTATTTTTTTTATATTAAAAATGACTGTTTATTAGTTGTTATTAAGTTACCTACCTCCCAAGGTCGAAACTCTTTTTAATAATAGTAATCAGCGTGTGAAAATAAAGAAAAAAAAATATTGAGCTTTAGGGTTTATTGGTAAAAAGAGTTTTTACTGATTTTTTTTTTCTTTTTACACTTTTTTTTTTATATTAATCTATATAATTTGGTAAACAATATTAGATTATTATTATTAATATGTATAAATAAATATATGAAATATATTTTCATTGAATGATGGGCTTTTTTGATTAGATTTATTTATTTATTTATCCAAATATTATTGATTTAGTAATTTATAATTTATAACTAGTAAATAGTCGTCCAAACTTTGCCAAGCTCTGATATTAGATTTTTATATAAACAACTTGCATTTTCTTATTTTTATTTTATTTAATGATTTATTAATCTTCGATGTTTAATAAATTATTAAAATAAAATAATAATAAAATAACGTATATTAAAAATAATTAACGTATATTAAAATAATTAACGTATTAAAATATTTAAAAACAATAATTAAAAAAAATCTACTCTCTTTTAAAAAAATTATTTTTTATTTTTTCAAAAAAAAATTTTATTTACAAAAAAGAAAAATTATTTTTATCTACATTCATACTTTAACATTTTCACCTTTTTTTTTTTTATTTTCTGAGAAAACTAAAAAAAAACAAAAAAATGAGTAAACAACAACAACAACAACAACCACAGCCGCAACCACCACAACAAATGTCATCAATATTACCAGTGTATCATAATCAACCACCTTCCAACAATAACAACAATAACAGCAACAATATACCATCATCAAAACAAATCGATAGCAATAGCAACATACTCACCGCAATAGTTTCTAATGTGACTATTGATGAAAAGGATTTCGATAATTCTTTCTTTATAAATGAAAAGAATGATATATTTATAGAATATAGTGATCATTTTCTTAGAGCAAGAAGTCTTAGAGTGTTATGTATAACATTAATTATATTCCTATGTTCATTATGGATATTAACAAATTTTGATGGAAAAGAAGTTAATTTTCATGGTGCTCATTATTATAAAAGTTCCAAAGTTGCAATTGTTGCAGCCAGTGTTATGGGTGATAATGGTGAGGAGGGAATACAAGGATTAGAGATTGCGAACCATTTTGGTGGTAGTCATCATGGAATTCATAGTTTTTATGATGATGACGAAGAAGATGAAGAGGATGTAAATTTTCACAATCTTCATGATCACAAAAGTGAAAGTGAAAATGATATTACTAGTAATAATATCGATAGTATAAGTAGTATTAACAACAATAGAGGATCTGATGATATTTCTTCAAATACTAAAGATAATAATACGAGCAAAGATAATTTGGAAATCGAAATTGAGAAATTAATTAATGAAAGTCCAATTGTTATTTTCAGTAAATCTTATTGTCCGTAAGTATATGAGTGAGAGATATATGTCAATATATTATGTGTTGTGTTGTTTTAATTAACCTTTTTATTTTTAATTAGATATTCAAGAAGGGCAAAACATATTTTTTCAATTTATGATGTCTTGCCACATATTTCAGTAATTGAAGTGGACGAAAGAGGTAAATTATTTTCATAAATTAATGGATTAATTAAAATTCCAACTAATATTCATAATAATAATAATCCTACTATTATTATATTATTATTATTATTATTTAGATGATTCGGAACAAGTCAAACAAACTTTAATCAGATTAACTTATCAATCAACATTTCCAAATATTTTTATTGACGGTAAATCTATTGGTGGTAGCTATGAATTGGCAATAATGCATAGAAGTGGAAGATTACGTGATATTTTAATAGCACTTGATTTGATCGATGATGATGATAATAATCATGGTATCAGTAGTAATAGTAAAAAATATAATTATTATAATAATAAAAAAGGCGATTTCATCTATCAACAACGTCGACATCCACCTCACAATCATCTTCATCAACACCCTTATCATCCACAAGAACATCCTGCTTTATGATGACGATAATAATAATAGTTGATTACACATGTTATACATATTCATATATATATATTGTTTTTAAATTGTAAATATTTTATTTTTCATTTGAATCTTTTTTATTCATTCATACATAAATATATTATTTTATTTTATTTTTCAAAAAAATCATCATGTTGTAAAATTCTTTGAAAAATAAAATTATTTTAATATATAGCATATTGGAAATATTTGAAAATGTTACATTGATTTTTTTATAGTGTGCAACGTAACTTTACAATATACGGCAATTATTCTGGCAATAAAAAGTAAGTGTTAACTGAATTTGAGGTAAACAAACTATATATATTAATATAGCAAGCAATGAGTTCTGTATAACATTTCGTGTAACAACAAACCTCCACTATGCTTAAATTTGTATATATATACAATATATATATTTATTTATTTTGGTTTTTGAAAAAATGAACCAATCCAATTTACGTACCCCACATTTTACTAAATATGGAATAAAATAGGAATGTAACACGGACGGCATAGTGGAAATTTGTTGTTACACGAAATGTTTTACAGACACTCATTGCTCCTGAAACTTCTCTAAATTGGAGATCAAGTAGATCCAGTTCAAATTCAGTTATCACTTTTTTATTGCCAGAATGTTTGCCGTGTATTGTAAAGCTACGTTGCACAAGATAAAAAATTAGTGTAACATTTCAAATTTCCACTATGCCAACACGGGCATACAAATTTGTTTTTAATACTGTTTCGGATTTGTTTCAGATATTACTTGATTTTTACTTGATTTTTTTACTTTGTTTGTTTAATTTAAATAACAAAATTTTTTATGGAAGATTGAATGAAATAAAAAAGAAAACCGCATCACATTGCATCATGTTATTGTAGTCAAGGATGTTTTGATGTTAATATGATGATGAGGTTAGGAAGTTATTTATTTTGAATATTATAATAACCATAGTAACAATAATAAGAAAATTTGATTATTTGATAGTATTCAAGCCTTTTTTCTTTAATATGGTAAAAAAATTTTTATTAAAGAAGTAAAATTTTCCAAATTCAATCTATTTACCAAATAAATAATAAATAATAAATTTGAATTAATTGATTGATTGATTGATTGATTGATTAACAAAATGAATTTAATGAATTAATTATTAATGAATCACCAAAGTCTCCTCCATAGTTTGCGTAATCATTATAGTAATTATTATCATTATCGTAGTTGGTATCATTATAGGTAGCGTTAGTGTTGGTATTATAGCCAGCACAATTATTGGTACTATAATCATCATAATTATCATGATTGCCAAAACCACTATTATTACAATTGTTACTATAAATGTTGATATTGATGTTGTTGTTGTTGATGTTGTTGTTGTCGTCGTTGTCGTTGTCGTTGTCGTTGTCGTTGTTGTTGTTGTTGTTGTTGTTGTTGTTGTTGGGTTTGATTTGTATAGTGATATTTGGATCCCAAACAAATTGATCATTAAATGAATAAACAATATTCTCACTTTCCTTCATAACTTCGGCTATTATCGAATCAAACTCTGATCTTATTGTTTCTATTTCTTTACTACCATTACTACTAATTGTAGACGATGACGGTGGCGGTGGTGACAAATTTGACGACAATAATGATGGTGGCGGCGGTGGTGATAAAGTTGACGATAACGATGGTGGTGATGAAGATGATGGCGGTGACAAATCATTGCAATTCATATATTTTTCAATAATCATATCATCTGATTCTGAAGATAAATCATTACCGTTTCCAGTAATTATATTGCCTGCTGCGTATAGTTGCAAATATCTGTCGTTATTTTTAGGTGGTAAAAATGATGATGTTTGGTATAATTGTGATTCAACGCCGCCACCACATGAACCAAACAAATTATTGAAATTACTATCAAGAAATGTTGATGCCGTTGTTGTTAATGCGTTTTGCAATAATTCACACTTTTCTGTCATGATAATATTTGGATTTGCAATCTTTGAATTTGTATTCATAACGTCTGCAATTGTATTTGTATTTGTATCCGGTTTCATAACATCTATGCATATATTCATAATATCTGTATCCGGATTATTTACATTTTCTGTATTCGTATTCATAATATCTGCAATTGTATTTATATTATCTTTTTTATCTTTTTTGTCATCATCATCTTCTTTTACTTCTTTTTGTTGTTGTGTAAATTTAACTTCTTCATTAGGCATTATCAAAAAGATTTGTGATGTGCTATCATCTCCTGCCCCATATCCTGATTCGAACTGATAAACTACATTTAATAATAATGTCTTAGAAATTGGATCTGTAAATGTCTAAGATTGTTATTGTAATTACAAAAGAGGAATGATGATTAATAAATTATTACTATAATGAAAATAAAATATGTACATCTATCTATCTACATACTTGTATAATCACAAGCTTTTGAAAAAATACATCTATTTTGTCTTTTGGTTTTGATTTAGCTTCTTTAATTAACGAATTCATGAATTTAGGTGAAAACGAAAGGGAGTAATTGCCCTTTTTATTTATTTTGTCCACCCAAAATATATTTTCTTCATTACGTATTTCTTTAGTCTTGAAAAATATTTTTGTTTGTAATAATACTTGTTGTGTGCTCGACTCAGACACCATGTTTAAAACATTGTCAATTTTAACATAATCCGGAATTTGGCCAGCATGAAACTTGACCTAAATAAATGAATATTATGCTATTATGGATAGATGAATTGATGGATAAATTTATTGTGATAAAAAAAAATTTTTAAATTTACTTTGAAAAATAACATGTGACATGTCGATTCTTTATATAATTTGATTATCATATCAGATCTTTCAATTGGTATTTGATTGATTGAAATTTGATTAATTTTATGAAAACCATTAATTTTGGTATCTATAAATACATGTTCTCCCGTGGTAAGTCCCTATAATTAAATAGATAGTTAACAATTATATCAAAAAATCAATCTATTGATTAATTAATTACATTTGTAGAGATGGTAAATTTCTTTGGCCATAAAGGTGGTGAAAATACAGGTTGGTTGAAAATAAAATTTGCACAAGCATTTGTCATAAGAAGAGATTGGTTCTTTATAGTATTCATAGTAGAATTAGAAACTTTTGGAAGTAATCCCTATACATTGGCGCGCGCATATATTAATTTATTCGATTAATTTTTAATTTTTAATATTTAACGTTATATTTAATATTATTCATTACCTTTCTTTTTAATACTTGTATGTGAGAAGATACTTGTTTCCTATCTCGTATCTCATTAGTTTTCTCTTTAATATACAATCCAATTAATTCATTTCGACCTGATTATACAGTATATACATGCATGTTAGTTAATACACTTATTTATCAAAGTATTTAATTTCTATCCACATATCCATCCATATAATCATCAAGATATTTACCATAATGCTTTCCTGCAATTAATTTTGTTTCTCGATCATTCATCCAACTATACATAATATATGCTACAAATTAAATAATAGTAAAAATATAATTAATATGTAAAAAAATAAAAAATTCGAATTCATTATAATAAATGATACCAGTATTATAAATGCAATTTACCTTCCTCAAATGCTTTTTGTACGTTATTTGGCCATAACTAAATACATGCATATGATTTATTAAGCGATAATAACAATATTACGCGAGCTTATTTAATTATAGACGCGTAAAAATTTACCTCTTTTTTCTTTGACTTGACGTTTTCTTTATTATAAATTGGATTCTGAATAGCAGAAAATTTGGTTTTTGGCATTTTTCTATATGTAATTGATTTGGTTTTTTTTTAAAAAAAATTGAGTTTAAAAAAGTATTTTTTCTAATACTGATACGTGTTTTCAGGGTGCGAAATACTATTGCTATTAATATAACACCGGAAATTTAGAATGCACGATAAATTTTTAAAAATTTCGAAAATCTTTCTAAATTAGGTTACTTGGATCAATTATGTAAGGTTAAAACCTAGTTAAAACCTCCTTGTGATGGGACATCTATTTTTTTAGCACCTCAAAACGAGAGAATCTGGCGGTTGTCCGGCACATCACAAGCAATAAAAAGCTCAAGCAAAACGAGAAATCAATTACATTGAGCACTTACGGAAAGGAGAAAATGATATTATGTTAATATAAATCTGAGCACAAAACATATAAATTAATAGTAATTGTTTATCCAGGACGATGGCTGTTTCAAAAGAAAATAAGTTGAAATGTTTCGTTTTCTTGATACTAAATATCGATAAACGCGTTTTGTAACTTATAAGAAAGAATGGCTAGTCAAATAGGACCGAAAACTTTGATAGCATTTTTACTGTATGTTGTTGAAAGTTATTCTACTGGATATAATTCAAAAAGAACTTATCAGGTAACAATTAACATATTAATAAGGAGTAGTCTCAACCTTTGGAAAACTCGGGAAAAAAGCCCCCGACGGAGATTTTCTGATTTTCTAGAGAATATTAATATCGCTTGCAGTATTGTGAATATGTTCCCCAAATTACGCTCCTGAATATGTTATGGTGCAACTAAGTGAACCTTGTTTACTTATATTCAGGGGTACTGTTGTGAATAACAAATCTGTCGACTGAATTTATCGATATACACTCCCTACCATAAATATCCGACCACCTGATGATCATTTTAATAATCGGAAAATGTTACAAAATTTTATTAATCAAAACCGGGACTGGTGCATTAAGTAAACATGTTTTTAAAAGTTAATTTGCATATAAACTTAAAGTCTCGTCGAGTTTG